AAATGTAAAAAAGTGCCTACTGAATACTAAGCATACTTCCATACGTAAATCATTGACATTCAATCTCATCATCATCACTAGGACGATCTAAATGTCATCAACCATCCATATCATAGCAATGTCCCGAATAACAAAATCCATATCCCACTAACAAATCATGACCTAAAAAATACCAGATAGCAATAGCCTTGTGCCCGTAGTAACCACACCAGAACCAAGCGCCCCCGAACAAAAAATCCCCCCGAAATATCAAGCACCAGCACCACCTAAGCCCCCAACCCAAACACCCTCTTAATCGACCTGCGACTAATCCCCAAAGCAAGACTACTACAAACAACCGAAATACTACTCAACGCCATCGCCAACGCCGCCCAGACCGGACTAAACCTCCAATGCGTATCAGTTACCACAAGTTCCCCACCCACCATCTCCTGCTTATGCCCACTAACAATCGGATAGAAGACACCAGCAGCGACAGGCACCAAGCAGCAATTATAGACCAACGCCCAACCGAAGTTCAGCTTGACGCGGTTGAAGACACGGCGGCTAAGCAAGACAAGTTGCAAGATGGTGTCGAGCTCCGAGTTGAGGAGGATGAAGCTTGCGGAGTTCATGGCGACATCGGATCCCGACGCCATGGCGATGCTCACGTCTGCTGCGGCGAGGGCGGGGGAGTCGTTGACGCCGTCGCCGACGAAGGCGACGATGGAACGGTTGTTGGTGGGGGCTCGCTGGCTTTCTGCTTCGGAGTCGGTCTGCGGGGTGAAGTTGTTGTTGCTGTCTTGGATTTGACGCACGAAATCGGCTTTGCCTGCTGGCATTACGTTTGCCATGACGTTGGAGCGCGGAATGCCTACCATGTCGGCGACGGCGTGCGCGGTTGTCTGGTTGTCGCCGGTGCACATATATACATTGACTTTGCGCTTTTGGAGCTTGGAGATGACTTCGACGGTGTCGGGTCGAATGGTGTCGGAGATGGCGAAGACGATGGCGGGGGTGAAGGAGGGTTCGTTCTGGGAACGGAGAGATAGGATCGCGGTGGATTTACCGGCAGCTTGGTACTTCGAGAGGGTTTTGGATAGGTGGCTTTCGTCGTAGTCTGAGGTTGCTAGGCTGTGTAGGAGACGTTGGTTGCCGATGGCAGCCTCGTATTGAGTGGGCGTGTTGGATTTCTCATTGGGATTCGGCATTGATACAGCGAACGTGCCTTTCATACCTTGACCGGATCTTTCTTCGATGTCGGCGCTGGTAATCGTGACCGAGGGCTTTTCCTTGCAGAAAGCCGAGATGGCTCGAGCGATTGGATGATTGCTGCTTTCTTCGAGCTTTCGGGCGAGTGTCCAAGCCACCTGTATCACGTCGGTGTCCGAAATGAGGGCTTCGTGTTCGGATACCTGCAGGCTGCCGCCCTCTGTGAGAGTTCCTGTCTTGTCGAACACGATGGCGTCGAGCCGGCTCGCTTCTTGGAACGCCTCACCTCCTCCTTTGACTAAGATACCCTGCTTAGCAGCTAGTCCACCGCCCACGAAAAGTGCCGTGGGAGCGGCGAGTGCGAGACCACAGGGGCAAGCCACGACGAACACAGCGATTGCAAATTCCAGAGCCCAGAATGTCCAGCCGCCGCGTGCAACGTCAAGGTAATCGTCAGGCAGTGTCCCTGACAGACCGAGAGCAAGCCAGATGACGAAAGTCAGGATGGCGATCAGCGTGATGATCGGAACAAAGTGGGAAGTGAGTAGATCTGCAACCCGTTCCAGCGGCGCACGTCTACTCTGACCTTCCCGCACCACGGAGATGATCTGATCCAACATCGAGGAGCCCCCGATTGCAGTGACCTTGACCTCGACGGGTTGACCGACGTTCACGGAACCCGTGTAAACTTGATCACCTGCTGACTTGTGGACGGGTTTTGACTCTCCCGTCAACGAGCTTTCATCGAACTGGTATGAAGCAGACCCAACGACAACACCGTCGGCAGGTGGCGAGGCGCCATGAGGTATGCTAACCACATCGCCAATTTCTAGCAGGTCAATATTGATCCGCTCGTAGCCATCTTCTGCATGTGTGTTTTCGTCACCGGGTTGGTCTGCGTCACTTGCGCTGATTCTCAGCAAAGCCTCTGTCGGGCGCAACTTTCCAAGAGATGCGACCGCATCCCCGGTCTTCGCTTTGCTGTACGCTTCCATGAACCGCCCGGCGAGAATAAACATGGTGAGAAACACAACTGTGTCGAAATATGTTGAGCTATGTGTGTTGGACGCTGAGCCCATAGCGGCGTCCATAATAAGAACAGCCAGAGACGAGACGTAGGCTACGGTCGTTCCGGCGGAGATGAGGAGGTTCATGCTTCCAAACCGGTAGAACCTGCGCAGGAGCGGTGCACGACTTCCAGGACGCCAAAGCGAGTAGATTTCTTTCATCGCCCGCACGTGGAAGATATCAGCGCCGTAGAACATAACCGGGGTTGTCATGATAAAGAGGGCCCATTCGAGGCGCGAGGCATCTCCGGCCCACATCGGTTGTTCCAAAAACTTGCGAACCTTGTTGTTGGATGACACCAAGCTCATGAATACAATACCCAGTATAAACGTGGGAATTGCCACAAGCAAAACAAAAATAAATCGGGTGAACAGTCGGCGTCTTTCGTGGCGCTGCATAGCTCGGGACCGATCTTCGACGCTTGGAGGACGATAAACGGTGGCAGTGAAAGCATCGTGAGCTGATTCGATTGTCCGAAGTATACTTCTCACTGTGAGAGAGGGGGGTTTTGGTGTGTACGTAACCGCAAGAATCGGATTCTTAACGGACAGGTTGCCTTCGACCTTAACATCCGGGAAAGCTTCCAAGGACTTGACAACTTTGTCCGGGCAGTGATGGCAGAACATACCATCCACACGGATGGACAGTGTCCTCTCTTCCAGAGGCTCGTCATGACTATCTGCCACCAGGGCTGTCACATTGTCGACCGAAGCATCATAGCCGAGGTCTTCAATCTTTTCCACAATCTCGTCAATATGGTCGCGGCCCTCAAACTCGACTCTTCCGCTATGGGTCAAGAGGTTGATCGAAACAGTAGTAACGAAAGGAAGCTCCTCCAGCCCTCGCGTAACCGCTCCGGAGCACGAACCGCACGTCATGCCGCCAATAGCAAGTTCAGCGACGAATGTCGAAGGGGCCTCCTTGCGTGCGGGAGCTGTTTTGATCATATTGACCTCATCAAGCGACGCTTCGAAACCGATATCCTCAATCTGCTCGACAACCTTGTCGATGTTTGACTGCGGACCAGTAAAGACAACAGTAGCACTGTTGGTAAGGAGGTTGACGGTGATGTCCTCAACGAAATCCAACTCTTTCACTTCGTTTGTGATGCTGTTGGCGCATGAAGCACAGCTCATCCCACCAATGCTCACACGTGCATTAAACCTTTCCTTCTCTTCTGGATGGTGAGGCGTCTTGGGCGACTCCACGGGTGTAACATCTTCAACTGATTCCCGGGCTACTAGACTTTGCACTTCTGATTGGGATGGACCGGGCTTACCACCCGTTCGAAGACCACTATAGCGGTCCCGAGGGCGGCGAGCAGCATCTGCCAAATCTTCGCCGGCCGCGAGGCTATCCAGTTCTTCTTTCCTGCAAGCGTCGCAGTTGTCGACATGTCTGCTTCCCAAAGCTGGAACTCGATTGATGTTAGGCTGGGTCGAGAAGAGGACTGAGTCGCGGGGTAGCCATGAAGTCGTATCAAGTTCCGAGATGACTGATCCTCTCGGTTCATATGTAGTGACATGGTGAACCTCAAAGGCAGCTTCAACCAAAGCCGAAGCAAGGCGTGACGGGTCGGTTTCTGTGCTGTGAAAGACGCGTACTTCGTGGGTAAGAACCGACACATCGATATCCCTCACCCCATCAATGTCTGATAGGACTTCATTGATGTATGCGACGCAAGAGGAGCAATGAATGTTGCTGACAAAGAATATGCTTCTGAGGAGTCTCGAGTCCTGTCCAGCAGGAACTCGAGAGTTGGTGTCTGCTGCCGTCGGCGACATTGTCGGAGGGAGAAAGAAAAGAAGGGATAGGCTCAGCCACTATTTGAAAGCCCTGCCTGACCGTGAGAGAGCTCCGGCAGGGAAAGAAAATTGTTTTATAAAGAGAAGCAGACAAGACGTGGACGCGGGTCTTGCCAGTTGATGTAAAAAGGCGCCTGAGCTCTGACGGGAGATTTGACACCCCACGAAGACGAGACAGATAATGCAACACGCTTCGCTGGTGTATTAGCGCAGGGAAATGCCTATCGAGCAATGAGAGCGACAAGTGGACAGTACTGCGAGGTAAGATGTTGCTTTTCCTGTCTGAGATTGAGTATTGCCTACTGACAGCGGCGCCTATGTTTGCAGATCGCAATTGCTCAGTCGGCAAGTAAGGGATGAGGAAGGGCGAAGTCTCTACAGATAGGCCAGAAAAGAGGGAGGGGAAGAGCGAAAGAAATATAAAGCATCATTGATATTAATTTCTAAGCTCTTCGATCAGGAAGAGGGAGGGAGGCAAAGCTGCGCGTTTTGTGCGTCGAAAGAAGAAGTGAGGAAGTTCTGGGGCCGCGCACAAATGGCGCATTCCACTCCATTACCCACTTCACCCTCCACGGAGAAGAAGTGTTACTGTGTAGGTGATGTAAGTCATATGTACAAAATGCCCCTGGATGACTCCATCAAACTTCCCCATATCGGGCGCATGTGATTGATGAGATTTCTGGATTCCTCCGTGCTAAACCGGCATTATCTGCCGATGCTACGAGTATCCCTGTGGAGGAGAGTTGAGAGGGTGGACTTACATATGTGGCGAATTTTTCTTAAAGCTCCGGCATTTTGTTGGTTTGGATTGGCTCACTAAGCAGTTAGCGGGTCTCTTAACGTAATCCACAATCGCGCGGCCCGTACAATCGCGCGGCCCGCCCCTACCAAAACACCACCTCCAACCACCTACCTGAAGCAATTCGACCACCACAGATGCCACCAAAGTCAGCTATCTCATCAAAAACTGCAGTGGAGCAAGAAGATAGGATTCTTCTTGCCATTGAAGCTATTTAGAAAGATTAAGTCGCTAGTATTCGTGAGACTGTATATATTTTTAATATTTCTTGAACCACCCTTCGCGCTCGTTTAGCTGGACGAGGCTTTGTCAAAGATATGACCAACGCGCGTTAAAAGTTATCAAAAAATAAAAAAGAAGTATTTATTAAATAGATCTTATCTTTAGATAAGCGAGGCGCACCTCCACGTCCGCTTGAAATTAGGAATATAGCTAATTTAATACTCTCTAAGCGAGGTTATTCAACATCTGAGAAAGTAGATTCCAACTGGGCTTATAACTTTGTTAAATACTACGAGTCCCTCCGAACCCAATTCGCTAGATAATACAACTATCAAAAAACTAAAATAGAGGATTCTGAGATTATAAAAGACTGGTTTAATCAGGTCCAGAAGGTCATACAAGAGTATAGAATCTCACCAGATAATATATATAATTTTAATAAAACGGGGTTTGCTATGGAACTGATTACTACTACTAAGATGGTAACTAGTTCCTAAAAAGCTGGTTAACCGTTCTTGATTTAATTAGGAAACTGGGAATGAGTTATTTTAATTGAGTATATTCAGTCTAATAAAGAGATTTTACTTCTAATTCTGATTTTTAAGAGTAAAACGCATCTTCAAATATGGTATAAAGGTCAAACCGTTCTCTCTATCTGGAGGATTAAAGTTAGTGATAATAGTTAGATAACTAATATTATTAGACTTTGATGGCTTCAAAAACACTTTATTCTGTTAATTAAAAATAAATTAATAGGTAAATACAATCTTCTAGTTCTTGACAGTTATGGTAGCTATCTAACTCCTGAGTTTAATTAAATTTATATTAAAAATGAGATTATTTCTATTTATATGCCTGCTTATTCGTCGCATCTACTTCAATCTCTTGATGTTGGCTGTTTTAGTATACTTAAACGCGCGTATGGTGGATTGGTTGAAAGATAAGCACGCTACGGCCGGAATTATATTAATAAGCTTGACTTTCTAGAAGTCTATCTTAAAGCCCACTAGTAAGCTTTAATAATATCAAATATTATTAGTAGATTTAGAGTAATAGGTCTAGTTCCTCTGGATTCTAATTAAGTGCTTCGTCAGCTGAATATTTACTTGAAAATACTACCAACCTCGGACAGCCAGTCAAGTGGCTCAATGTTTTAAATATTATATAATATAAAGTATCTTGCAAAGCATCAAAATACTGTGGAACATCTACTTTGAAAGTATCAAGCAAGTCTAATTTCATTTATATACTCTATACTATAGCAGCTTCTTAAAGAGTGCGAGCTTGTAATAATGAATTCAATCCTACTAGCCAAGGAGAATGAGAAACTACGCGCTAGTTATGAAAAATAGCTTTAAAAGAGAAAGTGCTCCAAGAAGCAGGTGATTTATAAAAAAGGTACTACCATTAAAAATACTCAGCAAGCTATATAATATGAAGAGATCCAATATAGTCAAGATATAGAGATTAGTAGTAAGATTAAGCAGGTATTTTAATCTACGGAGACCCCCTCGCGGACGCCTCCACGGTGCAGTAATTGCTTTATTATTGGTTATAAACGGACGCATTGTTCTAAACCGCCTAGTAATTAGTTGTATAGCAATTTATATAAAGAATTGTGTTGATTAAAAGACTTCAATTTCAGTATTTCGTGTTGTTCTAGCAGGGGGGTGGGCCGCGCGATTGTACGGGCCGCGCGATTGTGGATTACGTTAATGGATTCGGTCCCAGATTAAGCTGCCAGGGGAAAAGATGGACTTGAAGAGAGTGATCGTCACAGATTAGATTCGGCTGATCGGGGCTGCTTTGGACGCCCATTTCTTGGCTTAAAGATATAGAAGCAGCTTCTTTGAACATAAAATATGGATATTTGCACGTTGTCTTCACTATAGTCAGTTGTAATTCACAATAGGTGAGGAGGGCGAACTGCCAGACAGCTGCAAACGGCCAGTCATAGCCTAATGAAACGGTACCACCGGACTTCTAACCAGGATAGCTTTTCCATAACAGATAGAGTAGAGCGGATCTCTTATCCAGATTGAGAAATGAAATGGAAAAAATCCATGATTCGAAGGGGTATTGAGGCAGCTGCAGGGTCAGCCAGCCTGCAACGGGGATTACAGCGGTTCGGGAAAATGCCTCCTCGGGGACTCGAACGAGAGACAGCGAGAATTGAGGCAGAAACGAAGGCTTCGAGACACGGCGGGCCACGTGACTCTTCCATTGGACCACCGCGACAGGCGCGTCATAATTTTCACGTCGGTGATGCGTCGCGCCCACTTGAATCACCTCTATTTCATTCTTCCCTCTTTCATCAACTACTACTTATACTTCCCAGCTGCGGGTTGACTCTATAGCTATAGCTACTTTCTTTTCACTCTATCTAGTTTATCAAGTGAATCCGTGGTTCTGGCTATCTTTCACCCGTTTAACCCCTCCGTCAGCCCCCCCTGATATCTTGAAACCCCGCCTAGAGTGTTCTTTGTGCGCTCGAGTTTCCCTTATAGCCCCTCCAACTGGCTCGTCGCTGCATCTCCAGCTCGACGATTGGACCACGCTACGTCCAGGATCATTGTGTGGACCCTATAGGCATGATAGACCCTGTGTGATCGATTGTCTTTTACTCTTCCTCTTATTGGCGCAACCTACTGCCACCGCTCCTTGAACATCATCGACCCCACAGAGCCATCCCGTCACGTTCTCAATGTCGGTCCCTAGGCCTGGGATGCGTGCTCCCATTCCCCCACGGAGCGGCCCAAGGCCACCTATGGGAAGACTGGCCAGTCTGAAATCGCCCAATCCAACTCCCATCAGGCGTCCCCAGCCAATTTCTCGGCCTCAACCCGCCAGGCCAACTACCCACCCCAAAACCTCAACTTGCCCTAACCCGGGCTGTCCTGCTCCTCACATCGTTGAGGATGACGGTCAGAAGGTTTGTTCCGGGTGTGGTACTGTCATCAGTGAAGCAAACATCGTCTCCGAAGTGACTTTCGGGGAATCGTCGTCGGGTGCGGCAGTCGTTCAGGGTACCTTCGTCGGCGAAGATCAGTCCCATGTCCGCAGTTATGGCCCTGGCTTTCAGCGTGGAGGCGCTGAAAGTCGCGAGATTACGGAACAGAACGGCAATCGGTACATCACCCAGCTGTCTCGTGCCTTGACTATCCCAGAGAGTGCCATGAAGGCTGCTGGTCAAGTGTTCAAGCTAGCAGTCGGATTGAACTTCATTCAAGGTCGAAGGACCAAGACTGTAGCTGCTGTATGCTTATATATTGCCTGCCGTCGGCAGGATGGCAACACCATCATGCTCATCGATTTTGCCGATGTTCTCATGATCAACGTGTTCAAGCTCGGTCGGACCTACAAAGCACTACTCGATGAGTTGCGTCTGGGTGGTAACGTGTTTCTGATGAACCCGATTGATCCGGAGAGTTTGATCTACAGGTTTGCCAAACAGCTTGAATTTGGGTCGGCTACTATGCAGGTGGCGAGTGAGGCGGTCCGTATCGTACAGCGAATGAACCGCGATTGGATGACGACGGGTCGTCGTCCCGCTGGTATTTGTGGTGCCGCCTTGATCCTTGCAGCCCGAATGAACAACTTTCGCCGCACCGTTCGAGAGGTTGTCTACGTCGTCAAAGTCACCGAGATCACTATCAGCCAACGTTTGAACGAGTTCAGCTCCACCGAAAGTGGTGAACTTACAGTCGACCAGTTCCGTTCCGTGCAGCTGGAGAATGCGCATGACCCACCTTCTTTTGCCAGGGCTAGAGAAGGAAGGAAGCCTTCACGCTCATTCAAGAGACGGCCCACGGAAACGGCTGCGGAGATTGAGGGTGATATACAAGAAGCACAGCAACATAGGCGTGTCGACTCAGACGGCTTCGCTATTCCTAGTCTTCCTATTGACCCGGCATTACTAGCGGCCAGCGGCGGTCAACGTCGCCATTCGACTGCCTCTGCTGCAAGCGAAGCCATTTCGGACGCTGGCGAGGAGCACGCCAAGTCCGGTCGCCAGAAGGGTCCGAAGAGACCTCCGCTTCCAGCCCCTTCGCCAGATCAGATTGCCTCGGAAGAGGCTTTGGAGAATGAAATGACCGCGCTATTATCCAAAGGATCGAACATGTTCGAGTCTAGTGCCGGTCCTCCAAAGAAGGTCGTGTCTGATAATACGGAGATTGACGCTGCTGAGTTTGAGTCGGATCCGGAGGTGTCTAACTGCTTGCTCTCTCCTGCAGAAGTTGAGATCAAAGAACGGATTTGGGTCCATGAGAATAAAGATTATCTCCGGGCCCAGCAGGCCAAAGCGCTAAAGCGAGCTCTGGCGGAGGCTGATTCCCACCCTGGCGCGGACGGTCGCGTGCACAAGCCGCGAAAGCGCCGCCGCGGTAGACTTGGCGACGTAACTTATCTTGAAGGCGAGGGTGAAGATGGGGATGGCCGCAGCACTCGGGCTTCGACCCCTGCCGAAGCTACCCGCCGGATGTTGGAAAGAAGAGGGTTCAGCAAAAAGATCAATTATCGTCTTTTGGAGTCACTCTTCGGCGATGAGGGGGCTGACGAAGCCTCCAAACCTAAGGAAGAGAGTTTGAGCCGAAGCCAGAGTCGCAGCCAGAGTGTCGTGTCACGACGCAGCGCCAGTATCGAACCAGAGGCGGCCTCGAGGCGTACCGGGCTTCTAACCCCCTCAGCTAGCCAACCTGCTGGAGCTTCTTTGTCTGCCGCGGCTCCGGCGCGTGGCTCAGCGGTACCCGCTGCTCAAGCCCCGACGGATCAAGGTGGAAAAGCAAGTGAGAATGAGCAAGTCCTCGGTCCTGCGGATGGAGCAAAGAACGAGTATTCAGATGACGAGCAAGAGGATGACTACGACGAGGATGATGACATGGAGGATGATGGGGTTGACGCGGCGCTTGCTGGAACCTATGGTGACTATTACGACGAGGGGAGTGATTATGGTAGTGATTAATTAAAGTTACGATGATAGCAGGGTTGTATTTCACCGCAAGGCATGTACATAAGAAGTCCGGCGCCAAGTCGACGGGAATTTGATACCCAGTCATTCCAGGCTTAAATCCTGAAAAGCAACAGATGGGGGGCATATGATCTTCTTCGCCTTGTTCGTTCCTTCCTTGATGCTTGTCTTGCCATTTTGAGGCCAATATCACGTGTGGCAGGCAGGCATTGAAACGAGAGATGAGAAACGCGTAGTCTGCAACTTCCCCCCACCTTCCCCCAACTCAAGTCCATACACTCCACCAACTGCATCATCTATACCATCAAACCTTGTACTTATCTCGCTCTCCGACTCTTACCTCGGTCTCGAGCCGCATTCCCCGGTTGGTTGGATATGGATCCCACCACTTCGAGGCAAAGCCTTGCAGAACCCTATTCTCAGGAGGCTTCATCGATACCATCGTCACTATGGCCCTCACCCGCATGCTGGCAACCCAGAATGTCAGTAAAATTGGAACTATTAATAGTTTTTTGAGCTGCCTAGATTGTGACCTTCACGATCCCGGCTTAATTAAGGCAAGGGGCTCCCCCTTCTGGGAGTTTGATGATGCGGGTTTGTACGTTCAGTTCGACCACCTGCTGTTGAAGGGGTGCTCTCCAGTATACGATGGTTGAAGCACATCGATCTACACTTCAGCTACTGTAACTTGCTCCTATGCGCTGACGCTACATATGAGTCATGGTCCGTGGTGGTGATATATCTATCTTGGAAATGATATTCGAACTCTCTTAGCCCTGTGCCAGTCGGAAGTCGATCCTCCGCAGACCCTGAGGAATGTACAAGGTGGGCAGGTCGTATCGTGAATGCTAGCAACCCGTCGTCTGACTCGCTGGTTCTTGTTGCAGGTCCGGTTCTCCATCCTATTGCGGCATTTACCGGTCCTTGGTATGGAGGATCCTGCGTCGATCTACAATGGGTTACTGGGGCTTCAGATATCCGATGGGGATACTACCTCATCATGAGGAGAATTATTCAGACTATTGCGCTTCCTGTGCACCAAATTCGTGTGCCACGGGTCCACAGAAGCCTTGACCCCCCTTGGTTTCGCAGTCAGTGACGAAGATGGAATCGAACTATATATATAAATATCATACTTCCAGTATACGTCCAGCTTGAGGTTCGATTTCAGTTGCTGACCTTCCTCGCTCTGTTACCACGGTTGCGAATATGGTCAGATTCAATATGTACGGACGGGGGCTCAGCCTTCGGCTGGCCATCATGTTTACCTGCCAAGCAGCATTCGCCTTATTCGGTGAGATACCTTGATGAACGCGCCTAGGGTGCAATATATGTTGACCCTCAGTCTTGTCATGGATAGGCTACAACCAGGCAGTATTTTCTGGGATCATCAACAACGCCGACTTCCTCTCTATCGTCCACTATCCCAGTACGGCTGTAATGGGGATCATAGTGTCTATATACAATCTAGGCTGTCTCCTTGGCACAGTGGTGGCCTTCTTGACAAGCGACAATTTAGGTTTTCGAAAGTCTGTGTGGCTTGCGATGTGTATAATAATAGTATGTGTCTCTGATGACTCGCCTTTCACATGCAGATGCTAATGGCGCTTTACAGATTGGGGCAACGGTCCAGACCAGCTCCTACTCCAAAGCGCAGTTGCTCGTGTCCCGGCTCTTCACTGGGATTGGAATTGGCATCATGACAACGACCGTGCCCGTGTATCAAGCGGAATTATGTGAAGCACGCAAACGAGGAATGTACGTCTGCACTCAGCCTCTCGCTGTCGGTGTAGGGATTACCATCGCGTACTGGTACGACTATGGGATGAGCTATGTGGATGGGCAAGGCGGCTGCCCATCGCCAGCCAAGTGATCGTCGCAATTCTGGTTATCATATTGATCCTTGGGTAAGTTGGGCTGCCACGCGTTGCTCGAGTTGAGCATGTCATCTCACTTTTGTTGAACAGACTTCCGGAGAATCCTCGGTGGTTATGCCGTCAGCATAGGAGACAGGAGGCCTTGCAAGTTTTATGCGAATTTTATGATCTACCAATAGATCATCCAACAGTGACCCAGGAAGCTGAAAATATTTTCAGGGCCATAGATGATGGCCGTCCAGAGTATAAGTGGTCAGAGATCTTGAAAAAGGATGAGCTCCATACCGGCCGACGAATTTTGCTGGCTTATGGGCTGCAGTTTACGAACCAGATGGGAGGGGCTCCCTTGATTGTCGTATGTGAACCACGAGAACACCGCAGTTCGAAAGCTAACTCCATGCTCCAGACCTATGTCACTACAGGTAAAACCTACAATCATTCCTCCCTGTGATGTCTGATTAATGGCTGACGACATGCCTACTCCTAGTCCTTGAAGATAACGTGGGCCTCGACGCCAAGCTGAGTTTATTGCTGAGTGGAGTGATCCAATTGATGTTTGTCATAGGTACTGAGGAATTCTGGCCTACCCCCACCGGAGCAACAGAGCGCTGATCGTGTTACCATAGGTGCTTTTTATCCCATCTTTTACTCCGATCGACTGGGACGGCGGAGCCCAATGATGTGGGGATCCTTTGGCCTCTTCGTATGCCTACTCATGATCTCCATTCTTCTGTCCTTCAAAGGTAAGCCGGGTGTATGGCTCGGAGTACAGAGTTAGGGAATTGATCTAACACCCGGCACCGGCAGGGACAAACCTGGAAAAGTCGGCCGCTACGGCCTCCGTGGCTTTCTTCTTTCTGTATATGCTCATCTACGGGGCCACGATTAATTGCATACCATGGGTATACGGGCCAGAGCTATTGCCCCAACACGTCCGGACAAAAGGGTAGGCCAGGACACTCACCCCATTCCAACCGGTGGCGGGCCAGTTTGATCTGGAGTAGGGCTAACTCTCACCACCGCAAATAGACAAGCCATCGGAATTTCGGCTAACTGGCTCTGGAGCTTTTTCGTGAACATGATATCTCCGACGCTGATCCGAGACCTGGCATGGAAAGGGTATCTCATCTTCGTCGCCTTTAACCTCGCCTTTATACCGGTGAGTTCGGGACATACATTCCGATCCCCCCATAGCGCCACCAGGCCTGCTGATGAATGGTCCCAACGTCTCAGATCTTGTACTTCTACTACCCCGAAACAGCTAACTTGAGTCTCGAGGACATTGATTCCCTATTTGGAGTCCAGAAGGCACAGCCTATTCGGGAGGATGACAAAGGGTTTACCTGGGAGGAGAGCAGACCTGTGAGCTAAGTTGGGCCGGGAATGCACACGAGACTGATAAGGATGGCAACTATGTCATACATGAGTTGATCCTTGGTCCTCATGAATCAAGGATTCACAACAGTAGGATGGATCATCCAGTGGTTGATGACGCGAGAACAAGGGGAGGAGAGGTTGGTGGGCAGTTTGGAAGTGGTGTGTTTCTGGGAGGAGACTCATGAACCCTACCTACTATGGCTAAGTCTGTATCTGGCAAAGGCTGGCTGGCGATCTTGACCGCCACTTTCTACTCCCCCTCCCAAATATTCACTCCTCTCTATCTACAACGAAAACATAGAAAAGTATTATTATCTTAATAATTTTTTTCTTTCATTCATTCTTTCTTTCCAAATCTGACAATATGTGAAAATGGCAAAATATATAACAACAATGAGAGCCAAAACGAGAAATGAAACGAAAAAAGCAGGAACAGATCCAACCCATGTGACCCAGCCGGCCACATGACCATACCCAATCCCAGCCATCCCACCACCGACCCTTTTGCGCCAGATAAAAACAAAGATCAAATCCCAAAAGAAAGAAAAGGAAAGAAAAGTTCCACAAACATATGTCAAATCCGAGTTTTAATTACGATGGCGAGGTGAATATGACAGACACACCACCATCAGAAGAAGAGGAAAAGCGGAAATCAGAAATTTTGCTGCCGAAATAGAGTGGGAAGAGCGGTTGCGGTCGAAGTCGAAAGTCGCTTCCGCTATGTGTCCGTCGAGTTCGTTTTCGATCGATCGGGCTTTCTAAGCGTGTGTTATGCGAAGAGAAGGTGCCTTTTTCTGCTGCTGATAAGACTGCTGCCGATGGTTTACGCGTCGATCTCCATCCCCGTCCCCATTCCTACGCCGTTGTTCAACCCCAAGCCGTTGCCGTGGTTCACGGGCTGGGCACAGAGAGTCTGGAGAAGTGGTAGACCCGAATCTACCGGATTCGCTCCCAGCAGGTTCTGGGCGCCCATCGAGGTCATGCCATTGTTGAGTGGCCTGTCTGCGGCATTCAGAATCTGCGTGCCTTCGAAGACGATGGGAGACGAGCGAAGGTTCATGAGGCAGGCCTCCCATGTGGAACCCACAAGCTGTGCTTGTGTGAGGTCATCGTTGAAAAGATAAAAGGCCGGTGTGGGGGCCACTCCCATTGGCGTCATTGGTCGTGCGGTGACAAGGTAGGCATTCAGTGCCCGGTTCTTCAAGAGGATCTGTGAGTCGGCCAAATACGTTGCGAACTGTCGATCAATGTACTTCTTCCAGCCGCGCACGGCAGCTGCCATATCGGCGTCATCGGTCGCGATCCGCTGCCAGCTAATTCCGAGAAGGCGCGTGGCGTCGTCGACAGTGGGTTCTTCGGAGCGGTTGCCCGCGTTAAGGATCCGGCGATTGTCATCTTGCTGATCGGTGTTCATTTTGCGCTGAATGGAGGAGAGGGTGATATCGTCGAAGCTGGAAGCAGCGGGATCAAGACGCTGAGCTTTACGGCTAGCAGATGATGGGCTGCCGGAACGACGCGACGAGACTGGGGCAGCCGTGGAGACATTCTCAACGGTCTCTTCATACCACGTGCCAGTCTGGCTTTCAGCTGAGATGGCCATCTTGGTGCGAGGATTGAGGAGAACCATGCCTTCGCCATAGATGGGCTCTTCGACCTCTTGCTTTCCGGGTTGCGGAGCAGAAGCAGTCACGATGGACATGGGAGTGTTGCTTCCATTCATGGCTTCTTCAAAGGAGTCTTCGTCACGCGACCTCTTGCGGGAGGGTTTGGATGGTTGGAAGGGGTTGTTGTTATTGGAGAAGAAGGGCCGCGACTCTGTGCCGTGGGTGAACTTGGACTGGCGAGGGAATTGAACAAAAGCGTGGTCCTGAGGAGGGGATAGGACCATCGCCGGGCCATCAGAGAGACCGTTCAGCAGCATTGGGCACATGGTGGTCGAATGCGATAGTGTGATCGAATGCAGCGACTACGAGATTGAAACGAAAGGGAGCCTGTTCTGTCTGTCCAGTGAGCTAGAAATGAAGAACGAGAGCAACCTGTTGGATCTTGCGATCCAAGCTGTGTATAAGCTATGGTGTGGCACCAAAGGAGAGGACGAGAGGTGATGCGCGAAAGGGTGAAGGGAGGCAGGCAGGCAGGCAGGAGGTGACAATGGAAGGGTACGAGATGGGAGAGATGGAATATAAGGATGAAGGGTATCAAGAGGTAAAGAAGATGAGCAGATGAGATGGAATGGATTGACAGAAGACACAGTGAGGACGACGTGTCGGAGAGGAAGGAAGGGAAGAAAGAAGAGAGAGAGAAAGATGGAAGAAGGATAAACGGAGGAAGGAGATGCGCAGCCGGAACGAAGAAGCGAACCACGGGATCACCGGCTAAGATGTGGAGGAGAAGAAGCGGAGGGAGAGAGAGAAAAGTGTGGGAGGAAAAGCGAGGAACCAAACGAAACACGCGAGAGAAGCAGAAAAGGAAGGAGAAGAAGAAGCAGCAGCAGCAGAAGCTGACGGATGCGGACGAGTGAGCGAGAAGTCAGTGTGATCGGAGCTTCTTTGGATGCGCCTTGCGATCCATTCATCATTGCGGAGAGCAGGATTTGCCATTGGCCAGACCCGTGTATTTACCGCGCCATACGCTTGTGACGCCCGCCATTCCCGCGGAATTACTGAGGGAATGGCAGGGATTGTGCGCCCCTTGGCGTGACTGCATACCATACCGTACAGTAACAGGTGACGGGATCCACCGGACTCAGATCAACCCGCAAGGATGGGCTCATTATTGGTCGAGGGGGAATCGTCCCGGGCAACGATGGGGTGGGATCCACCGGCATATAATCCTTCTCATTGGCTGATTGGGCACGCCTTGTCCGCGCGGCCGCCCTCACTGGATGCAAGGCTATTGGCCGAACCACTCAGCTCAAGCCCGAGACTTTCGATGCGCCGTGATTGGCTCAACCCTAAAGGCCCGCACTGACTGCTGACTGACCAGGGGGTTGCCAGCCAAGAAACTTTAGCCAGAACTTGGCCCGGCTAGCCCCTACGACGACTTCGGTGTCTTGAGCCATTCAGTCCAAAGCTAACACGTGAAACTTGACGAAATTCTATTCAGTGGATGAGAAGATTCCCTTCATAAAGTAGTCAAAAAGAAAAATCCTATAGTAACAGGAGAATGGGATGACGAGCAAACAAGGTCGCGCGAAAATGATATCCGACACCTGAACTTCCTGCTAGTTTCACACGTCACAAATGGTCATCGAGCCAAATCGCGAGCAATACACCGACAAAATATCCTTCTAATAGAAAGTGGTAAAAAAGGAAGAGAAAGTAAAAAGGGTTGCGGAACGAATAATTGTGAAAGCCCCGTCGGATTCGAAATCCATGTCGTATCAACCGTGTCTTCTGGGCCCGGCTGCATTCCCCGCATGTGGCCGGCCCAGATGCACCCCGCATCCCAATTCGTGAAGAACTACCCCGGCAGATGAAATATTATCTTTTATAACAGTAGAGGGCCATACATATCCAAGTATGGCGGAAGAAGAGCGAACGTGACGCGCGGGTAGAACTTTTGCCCCCTCCGGGACCTTCTACAGTCCCACCCCCCTCAACACAAGCCAACAGCTACCACTCCCTGGCTCATCTCACAGAACGCCTGAGTATTAACACAGGCGCATGGCTGGCTCCACCTGAACTTCTAGTCAGTCCTTTAGGCATTTCCAGCAGTAGCGCCACCGAGCATGCCCTTGACGCTGGCAACTTGTTCGGGGGCGTAGCTGGGGGCCATGGAGCCCATGAGCAGGAAGAAGATGAGGAGGATAGCGCCGAAAACGATGAACTTGCGCTGAGCCGGGTGGTTAACTCCATACTCAGCCCAGGCACGGTTGGCCTGGCCGGTGTACTCCTTGATCTTGTCACCGCCAAGCTTGTAGTACACGAGACCGACCAGAGCAATCGAGTAACCGAAGAACTGGGTCAAGGTGACGGGGGTCTGCCAGATCATCATGGAAGCAGCGACCAAAAGGATATCCTTAAGGACACCGCACAGGGTCATAACGAGGGAGGAGGTCTTGCCAATCTGTGTGGGTGCGTTAGTAAATTGATCCCTATGTAGCAACGTCAAGAACAAGAGCTTCTTACCAGGAAGACAACGGAAACGTTGAGGAGGAAAGCAACAACGGCATTGGCCAGCAATGTCCAGACACCAACGTTGTAGATGTGGCCCATGGTGAGGTTGGGGACCTCGAGGAAGAGAGCAGTGACACCGTTCATGACAGCACAGACAGGAGCGAAGTAGTAGAGGGAGACAAGAGGGTCCATCTTGTACTCGGCGGAGCTGAGCAGGCGCTGAACCATGACCAGACGAGTGGCCTCAAAGACAATACCACCGAGCTGGAAGAGGAATCCGATGAAGACAAAGCGGATCTCACCGAAAGAGGCAATGATGACACCAAGCACGATAATGCTGACGTTCATCAGGACCTTCAGGTTGACAGGAGCCATGCCCATACCCCAAGTAGCGAAGAGAACAGCAACAGGGGTGGTAGCCTGAGTGGGAGTGAGCAAGGAAAACTCACGCTCGAAAGGGAATGACTGACCTTGAGCATCTGGATGAAAGCAACACTCAGATACAGATAAGTAACATTACCGCAGATCAAACTCAGACTGAAGAAAAGACCGATCGGAACAATAGCACGAAGGTAGACACGGCCAGTCATCTTCACGGTTTTCCGTCCATCGAGCAGAGTGGTGGTGCGCGCCAGAAGCTGGGTCATGAAGGTCGCAAATGCCAAATGCCATGTTGTGAGAATGATAGCTAAATGCCATTAGTTTTGACTGTTGGACAATATCGAGATAGGGTATGAGGAACGTACGGAAACCTAGCAACAGAGAGCACAATTAGCGATATGGTCACCTTGATTTGTAGCCACCACGTGGAGAACTTACGGAACTGAGCATAATCAAGGATATGCTTGTTGAACAAGATAACACTGGAACTCAGAGTGATCCAGACACTGCTCTTGGTATCAGTACTCTATTCAATTCCATTGCCTCACTCTTTTGAGTAGCTTACCCGACATAGACAGCAGGGTGGAAGGCAGGCTTCGGAGGCTCTGCCTTATCGACAGCGGGATTGACGGTGGGCAGGGTAGGCTCCGGACGAGAGACCTCTCCAGAGGTTCTGGCTTTTTCGCCTTCGGACATTGTGAAAGTGCGAGTCTGATCGGATAAGAAACGTTGAAATTCAAAAGGTCGCGGCCGTAAAAGGCTGCTTTGTCCGAACTTGGCGGAGGCCACGGGTAAAGGTTGTCAAGGGACGTAAAGAGAAAAAGGAATGGTGGCAGAGAAAGGTGGATAAAGGTTCGAGAAGCCTAAAAAGTCTGGAAACGAGTGAGACGAGAGTTGGACAAGAAAAGGATAGTAAGAGAGTGAATGAGAATAGAACGGTGTGAAGACGAAAAGGTCGGGGTTGGAGGAGAGAAGAGGGAAGAGGATGAGGATGAAGGGGGCTGTTTGGCTGATGGGGGGAGGGTCCGTTGAGGTAATTTTTACTCTCGGGTAAGTAAACAGGGTACCAGGAAGAAGAGGTACTTACGGCTTGATTTCCTGTGGGATGGGCAGCGGGAGTGAAGACGGCTCGGGAAGCGCAAGTAAAATTATTTAGGGGGGGGGACCGGAGAGAAGAGTCAGAGAAGAGAAGGAACGGAGATGTGTAAGTGCGAGAGGAAGACAGAGAGAGTGAGAGAGTGTGAGAGAGAGGGCTGGGTCCGCATCAACACCGAGAACACGATATGTTGTTCGTTGGTCGTCTTGCTCACGAGTTACAACTAGTAGTACTACGCTGACCGTCAACTTACATACTGGACTAGGAGTTAGTTTCCTTCTGGACCCGGACCTGAATCCCCAAAGTTTAGCGGCTGGCATGCATTCTACTTACAGTAGTTGCACTACTGGTGGGGGGTGGGAGGAATGAACCGGAACCAGAGTCAGTGTGATGATGCTAGCAGTTCTACTAAGTTAATTGAAGCAAACTGTAGTCTACTCCATAGATAAGCCCAATTTTACCTCGCCGATTACTGCTGTTGGGTGTCTCTCTGCATCTGCCTTGCCTGGTCTTAAAACTGAGTATAATAGACATTCGATAGTATTATGGTCACTCTGAACTGATTTTGGTCTGGATATCTAATTCCTGCGCTATCGGCACCCAAAATTGCCTGAGAATTATAATTAGATACCATTCGTATGCTACCCCATGGACACCGAAGCAAGTGAAACACCATCAGTGGTTCTGACGGGCGGTTTCGAGTTCTAGGCTGGGAAGACAAGCCCATCTCGGTGGAGGCCAAAAGTGGAGCGACGAGGGGCGAAAAATTAGCGGGCTGGAGACCCGGCTCATACACTGTATTGCAGAAAAGTGTCCTCGCAATGGCCACAATCTCAATTCAATACCGTATTGGTATTATTGATACACTGAGCATTCCCCCCGGCTGCCGCTGCTTGCAGAGCAAGTTTGTTAGTATGGAAACGGTATGAACAAACTGTAACAAAACATTTGCCAGTTCCAGACCTCTTTCGGTTCGTCCAAAGGAAGTCCATCTGCAAACGTCGTCAACTATCTAACTATCGACTTCTGTTCTATACTTCCTGTCCGTTCTCATCATCATGGACTTGCAAGTCTCCTGCATCATTATCTTATGCTCGATGCTGCCGGTGTTTGCCCGTCCCTCACCGCGATTCTCAATGCGTATTCAATATATTGCTGTCTAATTGCAATCTGCGAGTGGATGGACGACCTTGAAACCATCTCTCGGTACGGCGTGGGGCGAGGCAAATGTTCATCACTCTCGTGGCGAGTTCTACTGTCCTGGCGAGCGCTGGTGGTTGGTGTCAATCTCCAGGTCTCCACCATCGGGGGGCCCAGTAGTCGCTGGTTGTTGCCCCTTTTCCCGTTCGCTCTGACTAGAGATAGGCTGTTCTGGTTATTACCATTATGGAGCACCCCCCCTCTCCCCCAGCGACTTTCCTTGGTAGGCAACGCCATCTACTCTCGTTTTTGCTCTTCGCCTATTTTTTTATTCTTTCTCGTCGTTCCCCTGTTTACTTTGTCTGGTTCGACAAATAGGCAACTGCTATCTGCTTGATAGAGAAACTCATCTAAACTCTTCTGAATCGATTCCCGATTGTCTCCGATAAGAAAGTAGAAGGGGAGGGACAGAAGAAATGTTAATTGAGGGGACGGACACATCAACACCGACTTGCGACAATCACTGTTGATCAAAATTAACGCCGGCTTGTTTGGTGCAGGATGCATTACGCAAGCAGCCCGCTAAGCCAAGCACTGTCTTACCCGCGTTCAGCGGCCACTTGCTCATAGCGCCGCCGCAAAGGTCCCTTGCGGGTGGAGAATGCGGCGATCTGATGGCTGAGGGGCCTGACGCCATCGCCATGGTTCAATGGCGTTTAGAGCAAATGGTACGACGGAGCCGTCCTTAGGTTGCCCGTTCCCTCAGGGACTCTTTCCCAGACCCACGAGGGTCCGGATAGTTCTGTTGTATGGAGTTCCGTGCCGGCCTGTACCATCCTTCGGGTCCTGGTCGACAATATGGATTGTTGGCTTGGGCCTTCTTTTCTCGGTCTGGCCATGGTTCTGGTTCAATCAATAGCAGACAGATGTCGAGGCAAAGTTCTTACCAGGATTCACCGATTGCGCGTCCGTCAGAAATAAGGGCAGTGACAGGAGGGCCAAATTACGAAAGCACCAGGGGGCGAAAATTGAAGCTTTTGTTAGTGTATTTGGTCCCTTAGTCCCTGAGTGGGTGACAACTCCATCTGCTTGCATCTCAAATCCCAGACAGGTTAAGCTGATAACCGTTGTGTGCGCTTCTGGAAAAAGATCCTCTCTGTCTTTCCATTTCAAGAAGGACAACCAGTGGAGCCGTTCGACTGTTGCCCGGCTCATGTGTTCCCTGCTCAGCCCGGGACCTACTTATCTACCCTGAACTTGACAGACCGTCAAATAGGGGACGATCCATGTTGCCGATGCTCGCCATCGACATCCTCCTGGACCAGTTAGGTCACGTCTACGCCGCTGCGGAGTACTAGATACGCAGTAGGTAGTACCTTGCGCAGGTCTCAAGCGACTGCCACTGGTTGTAGGGAGTGTCTGGTTGGCCACACTTAGTAGGGGTGGGCGTACACAATGGATACACAACTCATATCTCATATGACTGGCTTGCAATCTTTGATGAAGGTGATCGGGCTATCCGTTGCTCGGGATTGCTATACCTATTAGCCACGATCTTCCGTAGTGTATGTCCTCCCATGAGCTCGGACCTAGCCCCCTCTTCTGACTGAGAGGTTTCGTATATATCCTAGGATGCAAAAATGAGATACCAGACGACAGCAGCGATCTATCGAACGGATTTCATGATGCTCTCGTGGGATACACAAGATCCATCGCCGAATTGCATTGCCGTTCTTGGTAATCGGCAACCGTAGCTCCGCCAGCGGATGGAGCTCAACGGAGAAAGCAGATGCTAGGACTCCATAGGCCCGTAGAAGCTAGAGACCCTTAACCAAGTATGAGCAATGCGCATGCATTCCACTGTAGCCCCTGGCAGGCCGGTGCCTGCCGAGAAAACCCCATGGATCCCGTATCACAGTGCTTGCAGGTGGATGAGCTTTGACGCCGGACTGGGGGAGGTGATGCTGCATTCAGATATAACGATAAGCAGTGCGACACAAAGGGCCAATCATACGATCGGAGTTACGGGAGATTAATTATTGCGGAAGTAGGCTACTATTCTTGAACATTTTGATGCATTCATGGGCCTGGAAATGGCCATTTGCCTGCTGGGCTACGGGACGATTGCCTAGCTATGATCCAACGAAAAAGCAGCAAACGCGCAGATGGCGCAAGGTGTATCAGTGGTTGGCAACCCAGAATATTTTTATTTATTATATTTTTATCTTTGTGTACTTTTATTTTTTCTTATTTTCGTAAAATTACCAAGAACGATCGATGGTGATTGCATGAATCGATCAGCCCCGACCCATGCGTCCTCCAGGCGTTTAAGATGAGGGATGATTTGGATTGATTGGGGTTGGAAATTAGCTTTGTCCCCTTTGCCCCTTTTCCAAGGCTCCGCGACTGGGGCTTCGGCGACACGTATTGCTATTAATCATTAGTCGACTTTTTTTGGGGAAATCCGATAATCCGATTGCTTGATCTATTAGGGCCTAAACTTGAAACCGATTCCAAGCGCCCCCCACCGCTTGCTTGTCACGTTTCGCTTTCCCGACCGACCGCAGGACGGATACACCTATACCTTCCCGCCCATCTCCCTCCCCTTCTTGCTCGTCCTCTCCCTCATCACCAACCTCCCTTCTTCCTCTCTCTCTCCCCTCATCTCTCTCGCCTTATAACTCTACTGTCCCTGCAGCTTCACAAGGCTCGTTTTCTATGCTCAGCCTCGCCCGCAGGACTTTGAACCGTGTCCCCAGCTTTCAGGATATTCTACAAGGCAGGATGACCCACCCCGATATGTAAGGAGACCTTTCCCCCCTCCCACCAACGGCGAGCTTGCCTTGCACTACAACAAAGAACTCATTGGAACCTTTACTGACCGTTGTCTTTGTGCTTGAATTCAGCTCCGTCGACGTTCTCGTCATTGGTGCCGGTCCTACTGGTCTCGGTGCCGCAAAGCGTCTTAACCAGATTGTACGAATTGCGCGCCCCCTATCGTATACTATCACTCAAATAACGGCTAATTGGACAATTCTCGGGTGTAGGATGGCCCCTCTTGGTTGATCGTTGACAGCAACGAGACTCCTGGTGGTCTTGCTTCCACCGATGTGACCCCCGAAGGTTTCGTATGTTGAATCCTACTTTCCCCTCAATGGATAGACATTGCACTTGTCAAGCGAACAACGACTGACTCGTGACAATCGCAGCTCTTCGATGTTGGTGGTCACGTCATCTTCTCCCACTACAAGTACTTCGACGACTGCATCAACGAGGCTCTCCCCAAGGACGACGACTGGTACACCCACCAGCGTATCTCCTACGTTCGCTGCCAGGGCCAATGGGTTCCCTACCCCTTCCAGAACAACATTTCCATGCTTCCCAAGCATGAGCAGGTCCGCTGTATTGATGGCCTGATCGATGCTGCTCTCGAGGCTCGTGTTGCCAACACCAAGCCCCAGAACTTCGATGAGTGGATCGTTCGCCAGATGGGTGTCGGTATCGCCGACCTTTTCATGAGACCCTACAACTTCAAGGTTTGGGCTGTGCCTACGACCAAGGTAAGATGCTCTGGATCACATGGCAAGTAACGGCGTGCTAATTCCCATTAGATGCAATGTGCCTGGTTGGGTGAGCGTGTTGCTGCCCCTAATGTCAAGGCCGTGACGACCAACGTTATCCTTAACAAGACCGCCGGTAACTGGGGTCCTAACGCTACTTTCCGTTTCCCCGCCCGTGGTGGTACCGGTGGTATCTGGATTGCCGTCGCCGACACTCTCCCCAAGGAGAAGACTCGCTACGGTGAGAAGGGCAAGGTCGTCAAGGTCAATGCCAACAACAAGACCGTTACCCTGGGTGACGGTACCACTGTCGGCTACAAGAAGCTCGTCTCCACCATGGCTGTGGACTACCTCGCGGAGCAGATTGGCGACCAGGAGCTCGTTGGCCTCACCAAGCAGCTCTTCTACTCCTCCACTCACGTCATTGGTGTTGGTATCCGTGGTACCCGCCCCGAGAGAATCGGTGACAAGTGCTGGGTAAGTTATCTACCTTGGATGCAGACTTCAATGGCCCTTTAAACTAATACGATTTCCTCTAGCTCTACTTCCCTGAGGACAACTGCCCCTTCTACCGTGCCACCATCTTCTCCAACTACTCCCCCTACAACCAGCCCGAGGGCTCCAAGAAGCTCCCCACTCTGCAGCTTGCGGATGGCTCCAAGCCCCAGAGCACTGAGGCTCAGGAGGGTCCTTACTGGTCCATCATGTTGGAGGTTTCCGAGTCTTCGATGAAGCCTGTCAACTACGAGACTCTCCTGGCTGATTGCATCCAGGGTCTCGTCAACACCGAGATGCTGAAGCCCACTGATGAGATTGTCTCCACCTACCACCGCCGCTTCGACCACGGCTACCCCACCCCCTCCCTGGAGCGTGAGGGCGCTCTTACCCAGATCCTGCCCAGACTCCAGGAGAAGGACATCTGGACCCGTGGCCGCTTCGGTAGCTGGCGCTACGAGGTCGGTAACCAGGACCACTCTTTCATGCTCGGTGTTGAGGCTGTGGACAACATTGTCAACGGCGCTGTCGAGCTGACCCTCAACTACCCTGACTTCGTCAACGGTAGACAGAACACCGAGCGTCGGCTGGTTGACGGCGCCCAGGTTTTTGCTAAGAGCCAGGCGCAGTAAAGGGTTGAAATGTTAATAGAATTACACGGGTTTTAATTTCTATTTTCTTGAATGATTCCAGGCAAGGGGCAAAAGATTTGTTTAGAGATCTGATTACGATCAACGGGAGCCATATTTCATCATTTTTTTTTTCTTCTTGTCCTATCTATTTAACTTATCTTACCAAGTTTTTTTTCTTTTTTTTACTCTTGGCTCATTGACAGCGATGTATGGGAGATGTTCTTGGCATTGTGATGCGTATCATCATCCACTTTTCTAGCCGCCTTTTGCTCCATCCACTAGACATGAATAGAAGTTGCTTATCGAACGCGTGTTTTTCTTTGGGGACTTAATTTATTGCTTTACGTATGCTGGTTACATGTCTCACGGCGGATTTTGCTGATGACCACCCCGTGGAGATCGAATCCGGCTTCATGACAGATGACACATGTATCACCCACCGAAGTGAGGCAGTGTTTGTAGCACAACAGCCCATGCAGTCCGTTTCTATTTTCGCTCCATCCTATCCCGATCTAGTATATAAAATATGATATATACGTCCCAAGTGCGTAGTATGGAATATCTCAAACCCACACATAGTCATCTACTAGTATATACACCAATCAAGCTCCTCAATAAGTATATAGCAAAACTCAAGAGATAATACTACTTTAGTAGTCCAATCGGTAGACTATGAAAGACATACGTAGTGAAACATGGATCTACCGTTAGCTATTAATCAATATGTGACTTATTATGTACGGTGTGATACTCCATATTTACTCACTACCCACATCCCCCATCCACATTCCCCATCTCATAAGGCTGAGTGAGCTCGAGCTCGAGCTCGGAAAGGCTGGCTGGATGAAGTGCACTGACTATGTCGGAAATTTATTACTTCACTTTGATTATTGTTTCTTCTCTTCTGCTTCTACTACCGTGTAACTGAATTACTCCATGCTTGAGCATGTGGTTGGTAGGTGCAGTCAGTGGTGATATTATTATTAGTAGTAGTAGTACGAGTATCACAGCAGTGAATACTTATCATGCTGCATACAGACTTACATACATACATACACACATACATATACTTATGCCCCCCCCTCCAACCCACAACCATCATGAGATTACTTATAGTACATCCTCCTACTATATATATATATATGTAAGTATATACGCACTAAATAGAGTAACAATAAACACAATGAAATAATGTCCAACACCAAGTACTAACCTATGAACACTCTTCCTTACGAAAGTTAGGAAATCTGCTAATACACCCGGATCATCCATTACCCGCCACTTTGCTCTTTAACCGTGGCTCACGCCAAGAAGGGGAAACAAGCCCATACACCTAAAGCGGTATAGCGGACTGGGGCAGGCCGCGTAAGTAGTCTAACTGGAGAAAGGAAAAAAGAAAAAAAAAACGAAATTGGAGTCGTGCAGAAAACCCGCAGGCGAGGAAAATTAATTTTTAAAAATAGATTATTAGCAACGAAGTGGGTTAACTAGCCCAGATAGGACAGGTGGTCATAACTAAGTAAATAGATGGGTAGACTAATTTACTCATGGATGGGCGATGACGATGGAATGGGTTGTGATGGCGATGATGGACAGTTGTTTCATAGATAATGAATATTTAGTTAATTACTTTGTTACCTAGTATACTAGTATTGAGGTTAAAAGTGGTGATGTGGTAAGTATGTCGGTGTTTGTTATTTGTAGTAATAGCATTCAAGAGGGGATACATACATATACATAGTTACATACGCAGCTTTGGATTCGATCCGCTTCAGCCTTATCGTCGGTCGATTTTGCATCTTCAATGGGCCCCTTATAAAAAAAGAAAAACCGCTCTACCGGTCTACACCGTCACTCCTCCTCTACAATAAACCACTATCACAGAATATCCTGCAGCTTGCGTGTCGACTGGGCTCAGCTGGTAGAAGACCTACGACCCATTGTTGGGTTGGATGACGAATAACCTCACGAGATCCCACCCATCATTGGGTCGGGACACCAACTCCGCCCCCCATGCTTTACGTCCCATCCACGCAACAGGTTGAGGCAAAATGGCTGAGCCCTGCATGGCGTATGAGAATCTTGGACACACACACATACCCCTCCGACCATATGACACCTCACAGTGATGATATTCTAAGCAAGTCATTTTTAGCATTAGAGGCTCACATTTCCCCGGTACGGCTCAAATTCTCCGGTGCAGCAAGGAGGTCGACGTATCATAATTCAATCAATCCATCCCCTCACATCAGTCCCTATGACTTCCTCTGCCTGTCTTTGGCGAGGCGTGATATCAGCTGTGCCCGGTGCTTTTTTTCAGCTGTCTCCCCACCGCGGATGACATGCTTCTATCCACCCTGCTGTCACATCAACCGTTCCCTCTCCACCCAACATGCCATCATCAACAACCACCCTGCAAATTTATTGCCGGACATATCCTAGCATTGTCGAGCCATAATCCTTGATATCATTCTCATCTTTCTCGTGTACTTCATATGTCATGAAGTTGACGTAGCCATCGAGCTCCCTGGCCTCCATCAGGTGCGGGTTGATCGACGCTCGGGTCTGTCCAGGTGTTAACGGTGGCCAGCGCAACAGGGCTACGTGAGTGTATACGTACATCTATGCATGGTTCGGAGCGGTGACCATGTGGAGCTGCCATGCGTCCTCTATCACCGGGTACCGGTGGATTTGCCGATGGCATAGAAGCAACGAGCTTGACTCTATCGACGTTATAACCCCCCTGAGCATACATGGGTATTAGATTTCCAAGTAGCCCTGAGATGGCGGGCGCCTCCCGCACCATGTGTTCTTGCGGAGGATTGTGTTCAAGGTCATGGTTTTGGACTCCCTGTGGACGACGGAAGAGCATCAGACCTCCAGATGTTTCTATGATTCTTGAAAGATCGGCACCTACCTCTGCTGGAGCTGCTAGTGAGGTATTCACAGCCTGATAGGTTACTGTTCCTTCGTGACCTTGCTCGGGTAGTAATCCCACGGGTTCGGGTTCAGTCTGTGTACCATGCGAGACTATATTCCTAGGAGCCTTGCGCCCTGTCAGATGAGTTTATCTTATCCACTCTCAGGTATGCTGAGCCTACCCTTGGAATGGGGTTGGACCGATGTGCCTCGGTGGGCCTTGGCCTCGCACTGCTCTGCAATCTAGTGGGAAATGCTGCTGGGGATCTTGCTATAGCTGCACCCGAGCCTTCACCAGGGCCATTGTGGTGGATAGCAGCAGACCCCGGCAACGAGAGGTTGGCCCGCTGGCCGCGTGTCTTTCTGCTCGATTTATTTTCACCAGGCATTTTGATCACCTCCAACGTCGCATTTGTTCTGGAAGAGGGACGTGCAAGGAAGTCAACCCACTGTGTTTCTTGCGCAGCTAGGCTGACACATGTGGATCCTAACCGGATCTCGAGATTAAGGCTCGGACGGAGTCCCGAACCTTGCACTTTGGATCTCGACCACGTCTGTCTCAGATTCTCTAAAAATAGCCAAATTAACACTTGCTAGCTGTGAGTCCGGAGGGTAATATCTGAAGCTCACCTACTTCACTTGAGGTGTTAACGAAAAGCAGCGAGCTATCCGCGAGTTGAGTGTTGCAGGAAAGAGTTTCTCCATTTACTTCCCTGGTGCTAAGGAGGAGCTGGTGAGGAATGGAGTGACGATGTGGCGCACTTAAGCCTTTCCCATCATCTTCTGAGAAAAGACTAACGGGGATTCTGGTTGGCACAGTTGCTGTAGCAAAGGGCTGGCGGGTCTGTGAATGATTGTGCAGCCATTCAAGGCCCCGCTTTCCCAGTGATTGGTTGGAAGGCAAACTGCTGTCAATAGGAGTATTCCATGAGTGCTGATGCGCACTCTCTGTCACACGTTGCTCTTGACATGCTCCAGAGGATGTTCCGGACAAGGGCCCACCGACGCCTGATGAGCAGGTGGCACTCATGATCCGGACCTCATCTTGCACCACTACGCATGGCGGAGCATCTGGTTCATTGAACAAGGATGATAACCCGGAAGGGCTAGCTTCTTTGTCTTGGTTCGATTGCCACGAGTTTTGACTAGGAGACTCCGGGCTCGAGCTGCAGAGAGACCCTCGCGGGGAGAGGTTGTAGGGCGAAAAAAAATCCGAGTCCAAGGCCACACTATCGTCGCTATAGCCGTCGCGGTCGAGATCTTGCCGATGCCACTCGGCCATGCGAGAATGGCGAAGGAGCAGCCTTTCCAGATGGTAGCGGAGATCGTCATCGCCCAGAGCAATGCGTGTAGACTTGTATCGAATCATAGTAGGTGAGGTGGAATGTCTTCTGATGATAGCTGTGAAATGAATACGAAGAATAACCGTGGTTAGAGCAACAGTAACGACTATGTGCCTCTGTAAGCTTAATAGTCTTCCTGTTTCATGAAGCTTGTAGAAGCGTGCAGCTATTCAAGTTGGGGACTTGGAGGGATCATCTGGCTAGGCTACGGGGTTACAAAGGGCATCAATTAGGAAAGAGCATCCGGATGGCAAGTGCGATGAATAGATACTATCCAGCTAGGTGAAATGTTTTCTAATATAGACTCTCGTGGATGAGTCGGATATCCAGAGTGATGAAGTTGACTAATAACAGTTGGTGGTGGTGGTGGAGAGGACTACCACTAGTAATTATGTTTGTTCTATAATAGGCACGAAAATGGGGCGTGCGAAAGAGACGGTGTAGTAGTAGTACGTAGTAGTTAAGGAGTATAGAAGATGGAGCAGGAGGTGGTAGTGAACCACGGTACTCTCTCTCGGTCTCGAACGGTTTAGTGGATAGCAACATTAAAGAGGCTGAGCAGAGTCACGATCTTGAATGTGAAACAGAAGGATATAAATATTTTGACTCGATGATAGGAAAGATCAAAGTACTGATAGGCAGTTAGTTAGTTGGAGTGTGAGTAAGAGAAACAGAAGATGGAATATGGGGCTTTCAGGGCCTACAAGATCTACAGCTCCAGGGCATCCGATTGAGCTGTGCAGAGAGGATGGATCCATCGGCCAGGCTGCATTCAATTGCCCATTGTTGCCCATTGAGATGATTTTAATTATTATTATTTGTAGTATGACACAGTTCTTATTGTGTCAAAAGAGAGAGAGACAAGGTCATGGCAGAGTTAAAAATAAAAACAGGATGAGAATATGATGATGATTATTGTTGTTTAGTTTGTAGGCAGAAAGTCTCCTCTTGTACTCTCTATTTTTCCCGTATGTAACTCTCTACTACCACTATTAGTACTGCTACTGCTACTACTACATCGATCCCCTTTATCCCCTTTCCCTCTCTCTCTCTCTCTCTCTCTCTCAATCGTATTATTCTTCTCCTCCTTCTCGACTCTCTCCTTTCCCTTTTCCAAACCCCCTGCTATTTTCTATAGTTTCTGTTCAACTCTTTTTCATCTGTTTTTCGATCGTTCTATTTACATCCTGAGTGTCCCATAATCCATCGTGTTTGGGTCCGGCAAGTGTTTCAGCATTTGGCGTTTCCCCCATCCCCAATGCATCATCCGCAGCTCCTCCGACCGCCGCCATAGTCCGTCCGGCTCTCCCCTCTCTAACTTAGTTAACTAACTTGTCTGTTATTCCATCCCATCCCCAATCCCATCCCATCGGGGAAGCTCCTTTTCCTTCCCAGCTTCCCTTCCTCTTCTTTTTCTTCCTTCCCCCGCTCGTTTCTCTTTTTTACACTCGTCGTTCGTTCTTCTTCCCTCCCTCCTTTCTCTTGTCCTCCTCCCCCTTCTCGACCTTCTGCTTGGTGCCACGCTGGTGCCTTGCCAGGTCACTATCCCGCCATCCTAATCTCCCTCGTCTAGTCTTTCTGCCTCCTTCTTGTTCTTCCCCGAATTATTGCTCTCCCTCATCTTCCGCCCGCACATCCCCCCCTCCTCCTCCTNCTCCTCCCCCCCTTTGAAACCCAACTCTTCCTCCCTCCCTCCTCCGCCCTCCTCCTTCTGCTCTCCCCTCCCCCCCCAAAAAGGTTTGGTGTATCACCAAACCCATCTCTACCTCCATCATGGATGGGGATCTCAGCCTGTCCCAATCGTTAGGGGGGCTCCGCATCGCGAATCCCGATGATTCTTCCTTACATTCGTCCGAAGATGCCGCAACAACGCCCGCTGCCAGTGCTGCAGATGTAACAGAAGCAGAGCTGGTGCGCGAACCTACCATCATCTCCGAGCGACCGGCCAGTTCTCTATCAATAACTCCTCCCCGACCGTCTGCTTCTCCCTCCACAACAGACCTGCAAGACACCCTCACCTCCGCCTCAGTCGAGCCCGCAGTCAAGCCGCGAGACAATCGAAGCTCCCTCTACAATCCCTACTCTGACCTCCCGCAGCAGACGAGTCCCCAGTACACTCCTTACGCGTCTTCATCACAATCACACCCTGCTCCGCAGTCCTCCCGGCCGATGTCCGCCTTCTACGCGAACGGATCCACATCAACACTGGCAGCTGCTCGGGAGGGTTCCTATCGTATTCGTACCGATTCCGCGGCCTCCTCCGCCTCCGAAAGTCAAGCACGTGCGGAATCTCGCGGTGGTTCCGCTGCTTTCCAGGCCGGTGTTCCCGTACGCGATAGTAACCACAATGATCGGTCATATCGAACCGCCCAGTTGCCCCCAACCAACGGTCCGATGATCATGCGTCAAACTTCCAGAGCTCACGCGCGGGGGGGAGCGGCGCCACAGATGGGAGGCTCTCCGTATGCCATGGAGAATGGCCCCGGTGCGAGCAGCGAGGACTGGCAGGATCGTGGTGCAGCGGTCGCCGTGAGGCAGGAGATCGATGCCAACGGCAAGCCGGTTGCGCGTTACATTAAGAAGGGAGTCCGGGATTTTTCTTTCGCTCACACGCTGGGCGAGGGCTCTTACAGTACCGTGGTCCTGGGAACCGACCGACAGACTCTGAAGGAATATGCCATCAAGATCCTGGACAAGCGACACATCATCAAGGAGAAAAAGGTGAAATATGTGAACATCGAGAAGGACACCCTCAACCGGCTTACCGAACACCCGGGTATTGTCCGACTTTATTACACGTTTCAGGATGAGCGCTCGTTATATTTTGTGCTGGATCTCTGCAAAGGGGGCGAGTTGCTGGGCGTGTTGAAGCGCATGACCACCTTCGACGAGGAGTGTACACGGTTCTACGGTGCTCAGATTCTAGACACGATAGACTACATGCATAAACGCGGTGTGATCCACCGGGATCTCAAGCCGGAAAACGTTCTCCTCGACAGTCAGATGCACATCAAAATCACCGATTTCGGAACAGCCAAGATCCTCAAGAGTCAACGAAAACCTCAGAACTCGAGCGGGATGCCCCCGCTAGACGCCACAGATATCCCGGAGGAAGAACGAGCCAGCTCGTTCGTGGGCACGGCGGAATATGTAAGCCCGGAGCTTCTGACGGATAAGAATGCCTGCAAGGCCAGTGATCTCTGGGCCTTTGGCTGCATCATCTTCCAGCTTCTCGCGGGTCGCCCCCCCTTCAAAGCCGGGAACGAGTATCAGACGTTCCAGAAGATCGTTGCGCTCGATTACGACTTCCCTGCCGGCTTTCCTGCCGTCGCCCGCGATCTCGTCGAACGGCTCCTTGTTTTGGATCCAGCCCGTCGTTTGCCCATCGAACATATTAAGAACCATGAGTTCTTCCAGGGAATCGCCTGGGGCCCGGACTTATGGAAGCGCAAGGCCCCTCGTCTGAAGGCGTATGTTCCGCCGCCGCGTGAACCCATCAAACTGAACGGTGGCGGTGGTGAGGGCTATGCCTCCAGCGCTAACCCGGCTGCATCGAGCACCAATGTCAGTTCGCGTGTGGTGCCCCGACTGGTAACCGAACTACCACCTCCCAGCCAACTGGACATCGAGTGGTCCCCAGTCTTGACCAAAACCAACGAGCGAATTTTAAAACTCGGTAATCTGGTGGTTCTATCATCTCCGGCAGCCCACAGTCCCGTCTCAAAACACGGAGGCGAGTACGAAGCACCCCGGAAATTCTCCCGCTTCTTCGGCGGCAGTACGACGAAGAAGCGGCAGCGCTTGGTAATGGTTACTTCGTCGGGGCGCATCATCATGGCTGCATCTGGAGGGGACGAAAAGAAGGCGAAATTGGAGCTTTCCCTCCTGACCCCAGGCACGTCATATCGAACGTCGACAGATTCGAAGGGGTTCTCGTGCTGGGTGGTGGATACGGTATGTGATTTCCTTTTATAAGATTTAGCGTATTGCCCCTGACATCGAGACATCTAGCGCGACAAACATTTTGTCTTTGAGGATCCCAAGCCCTCTTCCAGCAACGTTGGGGCCACCGCCATATCGGCTCAGGAATGGCTCGATAGCCTGGACCGCGCGCGGGAAATGGCTCTGTCCCAGCAGGGAAACGGTTCTTACTCCGATGATGCCTTCCGCGATTTGTCGTCTGGACTGTCGAGCCACGCCAATACTCTGGATCGGAGCTCTGAGATCCAAAACGAGAGTGCCCCCGCGGGACGAGCCACACTGGTTAAGCACCAGAACACAGACACGGAGTCCGTCAAAGGCAAGAAGCGATTCAGTCGTCGCCACTCCAAGAATGGTCTGGCAGCGGTATTCTAAGCCTTTCGTGCTTGCCGCTGATTTTTGTCCTGCCAAACTCACCTCAATACCTTGTCCTTCTTTCCCCCCGCTCCCCCGGACTCCCATCCTCCCCGAAGTCCGGCTTATAAACCATTGCGCAGGGTCGCATACAAAGTCTCTTCATTGTACCTGGAACATATCTCGTCTCCGTCTTTTGCTTGATATCCCTGAGAGTTTCCTGCGTGTGTGATTGGCGATTCTTTTCTACCATCCCTGCCAATGGCAGGGCTTGCTTTGGACTATTATACTTAAAGCTATTTTCTTATCACCGGGATTCAGTCATGAACTTCAGCCGGCGACTTGCTTATTTCCTTTGTACGTTTGCATCTATTGTAAGAACTTTTTCCTTTGTGACGTGGCTTGCTTGTTGCTTTGGCCTTGCATCTTCGCAATGATGAGCGTGTTTCTGTTCCCTGTTGAAATTGCTGCATTTAGATGGGCAGGAGTATGCATATATCCCTCATCTGGTTGTCTTCATTTACTTTGTCCTCTTTTTCTTATTTCCCATTTGCCCCCTTCTTCGACCTCTCCTCAATCTACTCTTTCTTATTCTCTCTTCCGATATATATATTCCGCGCATTTGCGATAAACCGACCTCGCAGTTGAACCTACACCCACTCTACTATATTTGCCGCGATGTCTGGGATACAGCGCGCTACAGTACATTCTTATCATCTTTCAATCATCATCAAAAAGCGCGGGGGCTTACCTCTTCAATTCCTTTACCATCATCACTTTGCAGTTTTACTACTATTAGGGATCTCGTGTCTATGTGCCTGTCATTTCTATACTGAGCGTTTTCGGAGTTACTCTGATCGATTACCCTCCCATATTTTTGTATGTTTTTGTTTGCGTGAATAGTGTTCTCTTTCTCTCTCCCTACTCTCTACTTGTCTAACAACCCTCTCCTTTATTCTATAACTTTATTATTATTATACCTCCCTTCTCATTACTTGTTTCCCTCTCTTCAATGCACAATCTACAGACAGTCCCGTGGTCTTGTTACATAGGGTTCACTTTTCAGAAAAATCATTCAATTTCATATTAGGAGTAGCTCAAGGACAACGACGACAAGAAAGAACTCACTATTACGGCTTGTAGGCTACCTTTATTGTCTTATACTTCTTTTCAGGCCAGAAAGTAATGCGAAGAATGTAAAACAAACATAGATCCTCATAGTACTACTTATTGATACGAAAAGATACCGTCTTACAATAAACTACTAGTTATATATACTAATATATATAACGTGAAGGTGCACTGTACATTATTAAAATTATATCCATCTATATACAATAAGTGGAAATATGGATATCTTCCCCGAAGGGCAATAATGAAAGATTATCTTATATCCCTCCTCACATGAAAGGGTAAGAAAAAATAAAAACAAAGAAGTGTTAATATGGTAACTTCTTATATAAACAACCAGTCAATTCTGGAATTATCCAATTCCTGAATCCAATCAAAGTCATCGTCATCATCATTATTATCGTCATGGGAATGAATATCAGTGGTAGGCCGTTGCTGCTGCTGTTGCTTCTCAGCCTTCTTCTGATCCTGTTTCTGCCACATCAAGCTCAAAACCCAAGCCGCATTGCGGACATTTACGCTGGTGATGTTGAAGTACAACGCGCGCAACTTGTTGAGTACAAAGGGTCGCTGGACGGGGTCTCGGCATTCCGCGCCAGCAATGAAGGTGGGCCAGATGAGGCATTTGAAGTGGGGATCTTCGATAGGGATGAGAGCGATTTTGCGAATGATCAGGTCTGCCACTTCGGCGTGGTCGGAGGGGAGACCGAAGTGGTTGGGGATGGTTGCGGCGCCGGGACGCGGTCGGGAGAGAACACGGCTGGCGTAGAGGTAGACGGCGCCTTTGAAGACGGTTGCCAGGGCGGTTCGCATGGACAGGTCTGCGAGGTAGTAGCAGCTTTGCATGGACTCGGCCCAGGCATAGGGGTCGAAGGCTTGGATGTGTTGGAGGAGAGCGCCGGGGGATTGGAGCGGGTTGGAGTCTTGGGAGAGGAAGGCAGAGGTGAAGATCATGGAGGGTTGCGAGTTGGGGTCGACGTCCGGGTCGAAGTAGAGACCGGCGTGGATGAGCAGGATGACTTCGAGGAGATAGGCTGGACAGCCGACGTAGGAGGTTTCTTCGAGACGCTTGAGCATGGCGGGGCCCATGCTGGAGGTGTAGAAGGGTTTGGATAGGGACCCTGGGCGAGCGAGGGTGGAGCCCATGAGTTGGATGCTGGGAGGGATGTGTCAGTATGTAGTGTCTCTGTGGACGATGTTTATATGACTTACAGGAGAATGCCATCGACAGCGAAATCTTCCAGCCACTTGACAAGGCATTGAGGCGGACTGGAGGCCCCCTGTTCTTGGCGGCCTTTAAGCAGCTTCTTGGCCCCTTCGAGGTGGAACTTCCAGGCACCATCCCCCGATTCAATAGCATCCATCAAAGCGAGCACGGTGATCGCAGCGAGAGTTCTGTTATCATTGCGCAAGACGGGATCCTGAATGTCGCTCGATAACTGCCCTAGGGCGCGCTGCTTAAGTCCGAGAAAATGTTCATACACCTTGGACGACGGACGCCGAGACATGGAGGTGATCACGGACTTTTCTACCTCTTCAGGAGACAGGGATGTGCGGTCTGCGGGAGAACCTTCCGACAACCATGGCGTCAGGGAAAAGTCCCCGCTCGCCAGGATGGCATAATGCAAGGCACCGGTGGCAGCAAGGACGTGGGCGAGGAGAGGAGAGTCCCCGACCAGGGGAATGAGGTCACGGTACGGGTTGCCGGTCTCGGAGTAGAGGGTGAGATAGTTGGCAAGGTTCTGGTTGACTTCGGAATGGTTAGACAGGAATCACATGGGCAGAGAAAACGAGCAAACATACAATGCACAATGTAGAACCGCGACAGCTGACTCAGGTCCTTGAACAGCGGGTCCACCATGCCCCAAGGCGCGGAGACCGGTGTAGCTCTTTGCAAGACCACTTGAGTATCCTGGTTATCGTTATCCTCCGACTGGGTTGGTTCTAGGATACCCTGGATGCCCGACACGTTGGGGGGTACGCATAAGCTGATATCTATAGACTGGGTGGGCGAATCGGCTGCTGACGGCGGCGACGCATTGCTGCTGGAAGAGGGGCTCGAGTCACCGCGCCTGAGATCTGAAGGACGCATAACCTCATTAAAGCTGCGACCCATCATCTTTCCGCGACTGGCCACACCTCCCTTGACCCAAACGAGAGGCTTCTGATACCCCAGACATTCCTTCCCCGCATCGCGGCACTTGCGGCATGTGGGCAAGCCGTTGTCGCAAATGATGCGGCGACGACGACAGGTGTAGCAACCCTTCGACATCACTTCGGACCGTGGGCGAGCAGACAAACTGGTCACTGCTCTGGTGGGTGGGAGAATCGCAATCCGATGCAGGCGGCTCGAGACGAGTGTCTACACAGGACACTCGCCATCATTGGGACTCGTCACGACACGGAATGGGGGGTGGGAGGGAAAGCTTCACCCAGCACATTGAGAGCACTCCGACCGGGGGTGCTGTATGCTGCTAGCAGGACGAAGAGCACGGCAGGCCGATCCAAGCTGAAGAAAGAGAATAAGAAGAAGAAGAAGTATGTCAGAGGGGAGAGGGAGGGGGAGGAAGAGGAGGGCTGAATGAAGAAGATCTGGAACCGCGCCGCAAAGGAATCCAAATGCCGCCAAAAGAGAAATCAAGCATCCCCATTGGAGGAGTGCTGCTGACTCATACTAAGCACTCCCGCTAGCCGGAAGGGGGCTAGTGCGGTACGAGAGCATGACAGAACAAGGTGGATGCATTGGATGCCTCGAATACCGGGCAGCCAGCGGGAGGGGAGTTGAATATGGGTTACGAAGAGGGAAAGTGAGAAGAGGGTTGAAGTTCATCTCTCTTGTGGTATCTTTGTGGGAATCTGGGAGATGAAGAGGACGAAGAAGGAAAGAAACAGTCGGGGATCATCCGACAAAAGGCAGCTGAACCCAGACGGATCCGACTATCAAATTAAGCCAATCACGAGGATCAACGCAGCTGCGAGGCCGCCGATGGAACGAATCCCGATTGACTTCTTGACGTTCTTCGTCTCTCCTTTTCGGTCGGTCGCAGGATTCCAGGAGTCAAAGGGAATTTGGAGTCAAGCGGTCTCAACTTCGTCCGAAGAAGTTTTGGATCACGCCCGAGGGAAGGGGTTTTGGCTTTGGTGGATCTTTCGTTCTTCTTTGACAAGCATCGGCAGATAGTAAATATCCACCGCTGTCATCCAGTCTTTCGCTGCACACAGACCATCCTTTTTCCCACGGAAGTCGAACTGGAAGCCATGGTTTTGGACCCTGTGTTTATTTATCGGCTGTAACTGGTCTTGTCGGCTTCAGTCTGCATCTCCTCGCCTTGGCTGCATTCTGATCGCATTCGGTCCAGCGTCTCCTATTCTTCGGATCATTCTCTTAGCCTGGTCCTTTTTGTCTTCTCCCCGTCCTTGGAAAGTTCAACTCCCAGTGTCTTTTTCCTCTCATCTTCTGCTAGTTCTCTAGTTCCTCTCGGTGGCCCACTTTGTTATCGCCCGCGGGGATCAACAACCGGGAATCCGCCGCCACTCCCAAATCCTCTGCGCAAATCTGCCTCTGCCCTGGTGTCGCGGGTCCCAAACATTCCTCGCTGGCCGTGTTGACGAATTCCCGACCGGGGCGCGTGTTGTAGGATTTGAATGACGGCCCGCTCTCTGCAGCAGCTCTCTCTCTTTGGCGTCTGGTCACCGCGCATCTCTCCCTGACGGACCATGTCCACCAAGTTTCCCACTACTACCGTCACTCCCATCGAAATGGTGTCTCAAGCTCAGGTCCTCGATCGCTCCGTCCCGCCGCAAAGCGCTGCCTCCTCCGTGTCGCGCCATTCTCATTCCAGCCGGCGACACCGTTCCAGTCGTTCTCATCATGGAGGACTCACCCATCAAATGCAAAACGACTTTCCTATTTTCACGCACACCGGCGATGTCGAGATTGTTGTGCGCGCAGGGGATCAGGAGCGACGATACCTCCTGCATCGATTGATATTGGCGCAATGCTCGGGCTTCTTCGAGGCAAGTACCCGGGAGGAGTGGTCGCGACAATCCATTCCGAGGCCTCCAAACCTGGACACGGGCGTGCTGTCGAGGATTAGTGAAGATGCCTCTTCGCTATCAAACGGATCAACCTTGGCCCAATCGGAAAGTGGAGGATCCGCTTGGTCGGTCGAAAAGAGGCGCTGGAGGTATGAACTGGACTGGGTAAACAAGGAGGAGGATGAGGAGCCAATTCTGGTACAGAAGGTGAGCTGATCTGAAGCCTCGTGAATCTGCCACTAGCAATGCTCATCGTTGAATCTCTATAGCCTCCAAGCTTTTCCAGCGCATTTGGTTGCGACGCGGGACAATATCCTCCATCTGTGACCAAACCGTCCAGCTCTCAAACGGGCTTTGTCCGGTCGATGGCCAACCTGGCCGGGATGCAGTCGGTGGTCAACCTCCCTCATCGATCTGGGACGGCAAATCCCCCTACAAACCCCATCGTTCGCGATTACGACAATCTGTTCCGCCTGTTCTACAATTACCCGCCGCTGCTCAACAGCGTCAACATCGCAACCGCCTACGCCGAGTGCCGGGCCCTGCTCAACCTGGCCGACATGTACGATGCGCTACCTGTGACTGGACCTCGCGTCGACCACCATTTACTGGGCTTTGGCTCGCGCCTCTTCAAGCAGATCGCCAAGTATCCCCCGAGCTACCTGAAGCTGGGCTACCTGGCGCGCAGCCGCGTCATCTTCTCCGAGGCCCTCATCCACGTCGTGGGACAATGGCCGGCCGGCCTGCCTCATCTGCGCAACGGACCATATTCGCCGCTCCCCAATTCCGTCCTCGACATCATCGAGGATAAGGTCGAGGACCTGGAAGACTTGAAAGCGCGCATCGACTCCAAGCTCCTGCGGCTCACGCTGACCACCTCCCGCGGCGAGCGCGTCAGTCCCACCAACGCCTACCTGGACTGGCTGGCCGTCTCGCTCTTCCGACAATGGCTCGTCGACAGCACCACTCCCCCGCCGACTCCCATCCTCAAGAACTCTTCAGCGAATGCACACGCCAGCACCAGCACCCACGGCATTCGCAGTTCACAATCGACCAGCCACCGCCCAACAGAATCGACTTCCAAGCCCACAACCACCGCACCACCCTGGTCCGCTGCACGAGTCTACCGGCTCATCGGCTCCCCCAGCAGCCAAGCCTACCTATCACACGAGGACCTGAAACGATTCCTCAAAGTGCACCCAACTCCTTCCTCGGAATCACTGTATACGCGCGAAGTCCTGAAACGGTTCGAGCGCAAAATGGACGAGATCAAGCGGCTGGCCCGCGAGATAGTCAAGCCGCTCATGCGCAATTTCCTCGAATTGGATCTGAAGGGAAGCGAATACAGCGAGGGTGGGTTGCCGTATTTAACGTGCACTAAAGTCGACGACGAAGATATCCCGTGGGAGTGATCAGCCTATTCCACACAACACATATCCCTTATTACGCAATTACGTCCAATAACGATACCCTGGAAGTTTACGGAAACAAAGTCAGTCACGATTTTTATCTCAGATACCTTATGTTGTTTTATGTTTGATGGTCTACGCTTCTTGCTGCTTCTATAATTTTACCCTCCCCCCCGCGCCCCCCAATTGCATGTCCTTAGTGATGTTTATGCATACCATGTCATGTCTAATTTGTTTTCATTTCATTTCTTGTCTTTTTTTTGCCATGCCATATGTTCTGGGTTTCCATAGTAACGAGACGACCTGAATGTGTCCACGATGTCATGATTCTTCTTTTTCTCCCCTTCCTCTTTCTGTTCTTGTTTGTTTCTCATGCACGATTACGCACGCCATGTCAAAGAGTAACCTACACCTACTAGCTAGTGATGAAGTTTTTTTTCTTTTTCAATATAGATAGGTGGCCGGATATACAATGCAGGGTCTTACCTTCTATCTCAATATGAGTTCGGCAATTTATTGAGCTACTGTTTATGTAGAGATGCAACGACTTATTACATACTACTAGTAGTAGTGTAGTATACATGGTGTGACTGTCCAGTTCCATGTTCATAGTATGTAGCGACGAGTACTACTCGATATAAAAACATATATTCATCATTCAACATCCTATCATACATACATACATACACACACACTATCTATACAACACGCTGCTCACTGCTCCCCAATAACCTCCAACCCGCCCATAAACCCCCTCAACACCTCCGGCACAACCACCACTCCTCTCTCCGCATCCCATCCAATCTCCAGAATAGCAGCCAGCACGCGAGGAACCGCCATCGCCGTTCCATTCACCGTATGCGGGAACCGCGACTCCTTAGCTGCTCCGCCACGCACACGGGTCCCCAGCCGACGACTCTGGTAATCGGTACAGATAGACGCGGAAGTGACCTCGCCCCAGCCAGACTCAAGGTCCCCGGCACGCAGTCTCGACGGGAAGAGGACTTCGATATCGCGTTTGCGGCTGGCGCTGGCGCCCAAGTCGGAGGTGGGCATCTCCAGGACACGGGCGGGGAGGTTCAGCGCGGTGAGGATCTCCGTCTGGATGGAGAGGAGCTCTGCGAAGAGGTCGTCCGAGGTGGATGTGGTACTGGTAGAGTCAGGGAGGTTATCCGCCCAGGCGAACATCTCGACCTTGGTGAATTCGTGCACACGGTACAGACCCTTGGTGTCGACGCCGCGGGAGCCGGCTTCGGCGCGGTAGCACCGGCTGGGGCCGACGAGACGGAGGGGGAGTTGACTGGCGGGGATGTCGCGGCCGGCGTGCATGGCTGCGAGAGGGATCTCGGCGGTGCCGGCGAGGGAGCGTTGGGGCTTGGACTTGTCCTTTTCGGTTTGCTCGATGGTCCAGATCTGTTGCTCGTTGTGCTGGTCGCGCGGCTGGAAGCCGCAGGCTTCGGCGATGTAGGAGTATACGAGCGAGGGAGGTGACACGGCTTTCCAGCCGTGGCGGCGGGCCACGCTGAGGGCGTATTGGACGAGGGCTTGTTCGAGGAGGGCGCCTTCGTTGGTCAGGAAGTACCAGCCCCAGCCGGTGGTGATGGCCGAGCTGGTGAAGTCGAGGAGACCGAGCTTGGTGCCGATGGTGACGTGGGAGCGGTTTGGATCGGGGCGTGTCACCCATTCCGGGGGTGATTGGGGGTCGAAGTTGATGTAGTTGATCAGGGTTGGGTCGGCGCCGATGGGGGTGTAGGTGGAGGAGAGGTTGGGGAGGGATAGGGCGAGTCGGTGGATTTCCTCGGTGCAGGTGGTTTTCCGGGTTGACATGTTGTTGGAGTCATCTTTGAGACGAGTGGCCTCGGCGCGGAGGGAGGTCAGGTCGGAGGAAGAGTCATTGTTGGCGGCACTGGCGACCTTGGCGATGGCTTTCTCCAATTCCTTGATGCGGGCTCGAGGGGTCTTGAGATCTTGGTCGAGACGTCGCGCTTCGTCGGTCAGCTGCTGGATCTTGAGAGGGTATTCTGCGTGGGCGGGATAATTGCGGTCGACGCAGTTCTTGGAGTAGAGCTCTGGGTTTTGGCGGATGTGCTTGATGTCGGGGGTGGGTTTGGGGGCCGTCGCGGGGCGGATGATGTCTGCTCGTCGGGTAGACGAGGAGAACGGACGACGGCCGAACAGCCTGCAATTGATGCAGACGTAGGGAGGTCTTGGTGGAGCCATTGGTGAGGAGGGAATTGATAGAGAGAGAAGATGGAGATGGAAAACGGAATGAAGATTGAATGTCGCGATGCTCACGCGGCCGCCTTTCCCGATCGGGCGGTCGCTCCACAGACTTGCTGGATAAATGGGAAGACAATCGCATTGGCACGGATTAAGTTACAGACACGAAGTAAATGAGGTGGCTAGAGAGCTTATGCGTCTGCTAAGAAGAACTGTTCATCCAATGTGCATGTTCGAAAGTATCATTACTCATGTTGACCGCTACGAGTACTATACTGAGTCCCCGCCATATAGTTACTATAACCCATTCCACGGTAGTACCAGGACAGCCTCTCAAGTCATTCCACGGCATCAAGGTCCATAACATCATGACCATCAGAGCCATGGTATTCCCTTACAACCCCAACTTATGCTTCTTGATCCTCGCTCCCAACCCCAGGATAACCAAGACCGAGGCCACCAATACTCCCCACAACGGAATACTCAACACGTTGAGATTGTAGGTAGTCTGAGTTGCCGCCGAGACAGTTGCCAGCTCCAAGAGCAGCAACACGTAGCCTGACTTGCGATGGTACTTGTAGATGCTCTTGCCCTTCTCCACACTACCCAAGACCTGGACGGGGACGAAATACTGCACGACACCTACCAGGACCTGTAGGATAATGAAGATGTAGGTGATGAGACCTAGGATGCCGTGCGGGGAGGTGAAGCGAGCATGGTCGCCCTTGTTGATCTCGATGATGATGAAAGCAGTGATGAAACCGAGGAGGCTGAGGGTCTGGATGATGTAATGGATGATGGTTCCGAGGCGCTTTTGGTGAGGAGTGGTGGTGGGTTGGAGGATGAGAGTGGCTTGGACTTGAAGCAGAATGGCAGCGGAGTTGAGGAGCTGATGAGGAATTAGTTTGTGGAACACTACTTACTGGGATAGCCGTGATGGTAATAATAACTAGTGAATGTGGTGATGATGACTTACGGGATGAGCGGAGAAGAATATCAACGGGTGAGATAAGATACCCGTCCAGACGAGGATGGCCAGCTGAGCAAGGACTCAGTCAGTAAGACACAAGAGCAGCAACAAGGATCTTCTTACCATCCAGATTCCGACTTGAGCTGCACTGGCCGTGCCTAATAATGTAACGAGCATTAGCTGGGAGAAGATACATTTTCATCGTTACCCAGAGGAATAATCAACTCACCTGTGAAGAGGTTCTGGTAGATAGCAGCGTTTTCTTTCTGGGGCACATTTCCCGGGGTATGCAGCAGGGGCGCATCCTCCTGCTCCTGGATGGTGTCGGGATGTTCTTGGGGGATACCCGTAGCAGAAGCCATGGTGTGTTGATACTACTAGATAGTACTATCTAGATGGCAGTATAGCAGACAGTAGTATGAGGGAGAGAAGATCAGCGACGGGAGATGCGCAGCGGGTCCTTAAATGGGGACAAGAAGAATGACGAATTCGGGGCTGTGGATTGTTCATCATTCAAAGTGGGGGAGCCCGACCGGCGCCAATTAGAGGGGATGAGATTGCAATATGCTTATGCTGGGGGGTTTCCATGGATTGATAAGACAGTTACTAGTAACTAACCAACTAGTTCACTAACTAGTTGGTTTACCTAAGTATAGTACTGCTCAAGCGAGTATGTGGCTTGTATACCCATCCCTCACCGCTATGCTTTCAGCAAGGAACATCAGGATGTTGATATCGAAGCAGTCATATTTCGCTCTCCAAGTTCATCTCAAATGCAAAGAGTATCTTGCAAGATTCAAAGAGTATGAAGTTGCTAAGCAATCCAGCAATAAATGACATGATGCAATAGGTGGAGAAGGATTGTGCCGACGAAGAAAGGGCACTAGAATCTGTAGTGGAACAACAAGAGAGAAAATGAATCAAAAGAACAACCGCCAACAAAGTAGAGCAGAGATAGCAACCCTCAAGAGCGAACAAAGTATATACACCAACATATCGACCAAAGAAAAGAACCCCAAGGATGGTACAAGCAAAATACCTAGCACCCACGTTTACCCTGGCCAGGGAGCGGATGACTATGGCGCATGGGAGGAGAACGAACGACTCTGGAGAAGCGCTCATTAAGATGCGGGTTAACCTCCAAGTCTTGTTGCCAATTGTCCTCCCACTCCTCAGAATCTCCGTCGCCTGATCGGGACCAGTCATCATTGTCATAACTCATACCATCGAATTCAGACCCACCGAATTCGGACCCCTCCGGCTCCCCCTTGGAGACATCGTCATAGTAGTCACTGCGCGAGGAGGCTTCCGATTCAGTCCTCTCACCGAAGAAGGGTAGTATTCCCCTATGAGTAGTGGCCACAGCTCCATAGTGACTACTCGCAGAAGAAACAGAGGGTGATCCTTCCTCGGAGTCAGGGTCGAGCAATCCTCTGGTCAGGAAACCTTCGGTGCTAGGGCTCGTGATATGCCCTTCATTCGTGTAGGTTGACCAGCACGTATATAGGCCATCGTTTGACCTATCATTGGCCGAGTTGCTCTCACTCTGTCTGGGCGAGGCCTGATCTGTCGTGACCACGCAAGGAGATGCTTGTGCCAATTTTTTCTAGTTTAAGAAGAAACTGGAATCAGGACTTGCACAAGACGAAAGGGGATATGTGTCGAGGAGGACCTACCGACTCAGCAGTGCTGTCCGTCTTAGATTGGAGAGTTGAATGAGTCAAACGCTTCTAGGGCAAGGGAGAACTAGATCAGGACTGGGGGACCATGAAACGGGGATATTTGCCGATGAAGGACTTACAGACTCGGTAACGTTACCCATTTTGGGACGCAGAAGAGAGAGAAGGCTTAGAGGGTGTAAACGTAAATACTAATAATATAGAGAGCAATCAAGAGAGCAATCAGAAACGCATCAGGGAAGCAATCAACAGAGTATTCAAGAGAGGGATCAGGAAGGCAGTCGAGAGAGCATTCAAGAGAGCAACCCGTCCAGAGAAGAACAGTGTGGACAGTATCAGCAGCCGCTCAGAGAAGAACAGTGTAGACAGTATAAAACTGTGAGGAGAGTTGGGATATGAAGAAGAACACGTTCTCCCTGGACTTTGGGACCTATTTATGCCCCAAGGAAGGCTGCAATCATCTTCCCGTTCACTACAAGACACAGTGAATCATCCCAGTGATTTGCTCGACGACATCATCACTGCATGTAACAAGACCAACACGCTTCAGGCGAGTGAAAAGTGATAGTATGTTCAAGGGCCGTGATTCGGTGTCCTGCCGCGGGCCCCCGTGAAGGGGGCCCGTCTGGGATGTGACCAATCGTGAAGTAGGGTTGATAGTCCCGGGTACTTGTAGAACACAAAGATTTATATAGATGACTGGAATGCTAAATGGACTCGAGTGGGAGAAGGGGCCTTCTTATATAGAGGAGAATGCATGTTGAATTAACTGAACATTGTAGGATTCTTCCGATCCTGCGTGGGCAAGTTCCGTAGGTATTCCTAGAAAAACATCGGGATATTCCATAGTATTGACAAACATTAACTATGGCGGCCTCAAAAATCCAGAGCCATCACCAAAAGTTCACTTCCGTCTTTAGTCCTCTTTCCCTGCCCGATTGGGAATTGCATTTGCTTAGTGGAAAGGCAGTTTCAGCAGGTCACTCTCCTCTCCGGAACCTGGTCGTCCAATGACCACCTCTGCCCCTAGGGCCTCCGGCTGCAGGCGCATGACAATATTGAAGAGAGTCGACGATCGCGAAATTGGATGCCTGGCCATGTCTTCCTGACAGGATATCGACTGGGGGGCGTTGTAAGTGTCAGAAAATACTCTTTCCCTGAGCACCTGCCCGATGATGGCATCCTCTTCGAGCACTCCATCCCTGATTAGCTCACGGGTCAGTTCCCGGGCCCGTGCCAATCGTATCGGCGAACCAGACAACCATGGTGGCTCGTACACAAATCGATTCTCTAAAAAGTGATTTGTGTGTGCTACCATACCATACTCGTCCGGCTGAAGATGTACATCTCCCAAGGGAGATAGTTCCAGTCCCAGCGAGCCTTTACTATCAGCAATCAAGATGTGCTGGCTGGACCCCACACCCCCCAGGGACTCCAGCGTCTGCACTGCCTCATCGACCGATGTGCTTTCCAGACAGAGTCGCAGCGCAACGTGAATGGGCAGTTTGGATGGAACACAAGGATGAGCACGAATGGCGTTGAGGCAGGTTCCAACACAGGCAGTATTGAAGCCGATTTTACCCACGATGCCAGCCTAATTCACACTTAATAACTGAAATTAAATTGGCAAAGTGAAGAAGTGCATCCGGAATTTACATGAGGGGTGACTTACTTCAGTGACCATGTGAATGGTTGGTTTTCCAGGCTGTTCAATCTTCATAAGCGCGATATTCTTCTGTATCGTGGTGGTAAAGTCCCAGTTCTGGGCAAGAATACGACCCTGATCGTTCCTCTTCCATGAAAGGCTAGTGCACCCGTCTGTGAACTTGCCAAAAGTTATTTCACTTCGACAGTTCAAGGCTACAATGTCGAGAAGGTCGACCCCTGCACCCTCTGCAATTCCCTCCATTTCTTGGTAGAGGTGGGGGGTGGCGCGCTGGATTGTGGCCGCAAATTGGTCTGCTTGCCGCCGGACTGCATCCCAAGACAAATTACAGTTCACCTGGAACATCTCTTCGTAGATGGTAATTTGGCTGCTTATTTGCGGCCGAAGGCGAGACCCATGATGGAACCCAATCTGCGTGCGTTACGAGACACTTAGTTACCGGATTCCAAGCCGGGAAATGGTCCAAGGGTGTTGCTAGTACTTACCTCTCTTGGGGTGCCGGTGAGGACCAGTTTGGGTGGCTCTTCAACTTTGGAGTACATTTCGTGCAGTTTAGCTGATGTTACACTCGCAGGATGAGAAGCTTACGGAGATTTGGAAGTCTGAATGAATTGGGGGGACGGCCTGTTTGTGAAAGTCCGTCTTATCAACATGGCGGGGTTGAATTGATAGGCTTATCGGCTAAGTAGAGCAATGCTGCGGGGAAGTGGCGATCCGGACATTTACCTCGGAGATTTAGCATTGACTACTCACGATGGGAATACCAACTACTATGGCATTGTTAAGGATGCCTATCCAAAAAGATCCATGTCACTACTCGGTATAGTTATCTAAACAACTGGGGTCTGTCTTGATCTCCACCAACCCAACCCACCCGCTCCACATGCCCGCCCCACTTGTCCAGTTGACAGGTGATCCTCGTATCGACCGTTGGAACTATCCCTTCCTATAGAGCAGCCATCCGTGATAGTTGATAAATTCTTCTTGAAGTCGGTACATAATACACGATCAATAATCGTTGGCTTATTTACTCAGTGAGAAGAACGTTGTCCGGCCGGTCACAGTGGGATGAGTGAAATAACTATAGGCCTGGACACTCACTATGATAACACATCGCTGCCGAAACTTGAGACAAGTGTTTCTGCTGTGTATCTCTCACGATGCAGCTGGCAGAGACTAATGTCAGCATAAGCCTGCTTTTACATTCGGAAAATACAAAATCAAATCACTCCAAAGCTTCCACACGCGCATTCGCAAAACCGTTAGCTTCAAGTCTCGGCCGAAGTTAAGATGACTATGAATCTGTTCTGTGCCTGAAATGACATACCCGTCTATAATTTGAACGACAAGCTAAAGCCATTTCTAAACCAGATTGGCTGGCTCTGCGCCACCAACGATGACAACCCCCATTCCGGCTGACACGGAATCTGACCCGACTTTCTCTCTTCGTCGGGTCTAGGATGGCCTGAGTCCCGCCTTGCTTTTGTGCAACCAACCCCAAGCTGCAGCCGAATTGGCTCTTAGTAGTCTAGACTGACAGAACCCAGATAGATACCCTGTCACTTTGATCTATCCTAACTCGCACGACTGAACAGGGTTACCACAGGCATTGCTGTCGCTACTACACTACGCACTAGTCTCCAGCAGTTTTCTCTTTCCGTCTCCCGCCTTACCTGCCTCACGACTAAAGTAGACACGTCAGTATAATTGGGGGTTTTAGCTTCAAGGAATCCACCAAACCCTGCAGCTGCATGGGCTCCTCCGCTTAGTCTCACGAGTTATGCCAAGCCGGTAGCAAGCGTCAAGCGAAGTTCGACCACCAGTCATCTGTCTCCATTACCGACTCCTGACTGCATCCCAAACTACGAGGTAGTATCTAGGTGGTGCTAATACCTAAGCAGGATCTGAATCCTTGCATGCCCGCCGTCTCTTCTTTCACTCATCGGACCGGACCGTAGGTCGATAGGCACTCTACGCGCTAAGCTACCTACAAGCTATAGTAGTATCTGCTTAGCATACACTAGCACGAGTGGGATCACCTGGCGGTAGAAATAATAACTGGTACTAGCGTAACTGTATATCCAAAGTTAGATTTCATGTACAGACAAGTGGTGGGTGGCCACTAGCTATGCTTTGTAGTAGTTGACAGCATTTGGGACATCTGATCATGAATCTAGCAACTACACTACTTGGTAATGATCTTTTTAAAGCAAAGTTATTCTCAAGACAAAGGACAGTGGCGGACTCAACTGTATGTATATGAGCTATCTAGTTCTCTCTCTTTCTCTCTCTTTCTCTCTCTCTCTCTCTCTCTCTCTGTCTGTCTGTGTGTATGTGTGTGTGTGTGTTGGGGATAGTCAGCAACCACGTAGGCAGAGTTGGCGACAGGTCAGGTGATGCCTGGCCACAGTAAATGTATCAACAAAAATACTAACCCACATAAATGGGATCGCACGAGAACTAGAAGCCAAGAAAAATTCATCAATGATGAATACTTGCACCCTGATCAAGAATTGATTCAGCAAAGACCTGGCCGGTGCGTGGCCTGCCCTAATCTAGTATTTAGTGGACGTTCCGGAACGAAAAAGAAGATGAGCTGGAAACCTTAAAAAGTACGAAAAAGGTACTACCTGACACAAAGGTTGGATTCGGAAGTTGGATTCGGAAAACATAAGCTCACGAATCGAAAACCGTATACTACTAGTACTCCGTAACTGATTTAGTAACCTGCTATTGGCTCTCTAACCGCCACGGCACGCTGCTACAGCAACATGAGCATACATTTGAACCAAGAAACCGGACTCTGGACGATCCCGTGTTGTTGAGCTGAGGCATGTAGAGCTTAACCAATCAGTTAACATAAACGGCATAGAGAGGTGCTGAGTTAAGACAGACTTTTATTTCGATAGGATTGTCCTGGACTTACTACTAGGCGGGCCGGGCCTCAGGACTCGACCGCCTGAATGATGCTGAAGTGTTTAGAAAACACCACCATAGTAGCTTGGTAGCACGCCAGTGGCGCCTTGCCAGTCAGCCCGCTGGATCCCCTTATATTGGTGCAGTGCCACTGACAACTGTCCGAGGTACACCACAAGACAGATGAGGAGGTGTAGTAGTTCGTATTTGTGTGACCAGAACTCACACCCCTTCGCGGCCGGGCCAATTGACTTCCTGCGATATGAACAGTGCTGAGATGTAGCAGCTGAGGATAACAGGGGGTAGTACTTCCTGCCACGAAAGGTTTGAGGCTGCGCAATGTCCAGCCTGAGTAGATAGGTTACAAAGAGACCAGCTAATCGAAAATTTTCTTAGTAGAAATACTCACAGAAGTGTCTGGATTTCTCACCGCTGCAAGTTCAAGTTGATCGAACTGGTTGGACCATTGGATGCCTATGCGCGTGAGGTGACATTCGACCAAGTATGGATCCCACTAACGGCTGCTTCGATGCTTCGAGTGCGGCTATGATGGGTTCAGGCCCACCAATTGGCCAGCGGGGTCGTGCAGCCGTTAAGTTATGCTGTCCATCCAATAAAGAGTCGTAGGATGAAACAATGCCCGAGACCGGAATACATCCTGGGCACTGTATGCCTTTCCTTGAATAGGAGGGTAGTGAGCTTTAGTAAGAAACGAAATGGGTGCAGGAGGGTCGGGTGAGAAGTCGATCGGCCGAAGTTTAGCTTGATTTCCGGTTGAAGAATGCGCATGGACTTGGATCTAGCAGGGATGGTTTGGTGGTATGGTATGGTATGGTATGATATGACCGAGCAGCATTCTGTCTGTTGCTTCAGGTTCACGTTCATACATGAAGTCTTTTGATTTTCGGGTTCGTGGTGTGTCTTTGGATGTGTCTTATGGCTTCCTTTCATCATTTAAAGGTCAAACAGTTGTAAAGGTCAAGTCTATGTCTATTCGAGGCTATCTATGCTGACTCTATGGATCTATACACAAGGTCCACGTCTAACCTATTTACTGAACGTCTCAATCGCCGTCGTGTCCACACCAATTGTGATATACCCGATCAGGCCTCGGGACAGATCGTTCTCATCCACAGGAACAACAGACACAACCGGGTTATATCCGCCCTCGAGATCCTCAGGGTACACCGAGTCTTCGGCATTGGTAGTCCGGTTAATCTGAGTGTGTGACACATAAGGCTCCATACTCATAATCTTCTGCTCGAGCTCCTCCTCGAAATACAGCTGGCCAGTACTGACGGTATTACTGGCGATGATGGTGCCGTTTTCGCGAACGGCCCAGTCAGTATGAACCTGGGCGTGGATGTGGATGGCACGCTCGACGTAGAAGCCTACATTACATATCAGTAAGTTCATGTAGCTATCTTGGCAGTGAAAGCGACTTACCTGGGAATATGGTCTTCATCTCCATAACGCCCTCCTCGTTCGTCGGCCACATACCACGCAGCCAGGTAGTATCGTCGGTGTGCAGGTCCGTGACTCCCATATCATAATCGGTAATGTTCAGCTCAGAAAGGAGTGTCTCGAAGGGGGTGTTAGGGGAGAGACCCGTGAACGAGGCGTAGGAACCCGTTGCGTTGCAGTGCCAAAAGTCGAGAAGGGCGTTGGGCAATGGCTCGCAGGTGGCCATGTCCAAAACTCCCACATCGAGCCATAGGGGCACACCTGGCTGGTCTTCGGTCATGTCTTGACGAAGGGTCTGGGAGCGAGGCCAGACGTAGGGACCACGGGTGACCTCCGGGGTGAGGACGCAGGTGTTGTTCTGGATGGTCTCGTAGTAGGGAGCTTCGGTGGTTATCTCAAATGTAGTATTGTGGCCAGATCCCTCCCAACGCTTCTGCATGCCTCGCTTGGCCATGCGACGCTGGTTGAAGTGCCCAACATGGCTGGCGCATCGCTTGGCCATGTCGCTGCGGCGCTGGATCTCTGCACGAGGGAGGATGTCGTACGGGCCCGGATGGGCAATTGCAGTGCCTGCCGCTAGGGCAGTAAGAAAGAGCTTGGAATAGTGCATTTTGAAATGGAATTTGGGAGAAAGTCGTTGGTGAACCGGGCTATGCTGTTGACTCCGAGGACGGGGGTGTGGTGGCTTTATATAGACGCCTCTTCACTGACCTCGCGGAGTCAAACAAGCGCACGGAGAATGATATCCTCTCATTGCCTCCTTCGACGCACTTGGCCATCGAATTGTGGATCGTAACAGCCAGCAGATAGAGCATGCTTCCTTGGCAATTTGGCAAACTTCACTGGACTCTCCGTCTGATACCGACCCTTGACCACATCAACGGGGGCAAGATGTCGCCATTATCTTGGCATCTATATCTCTGCAAGGTATAGATCACCAGGGGCAGTAACCTATCCTCTCCAATTGCCGTAGCTTCGTAATGAAGGCCACCTCATGGGTCCTCTCGTGGAGGAGCTGCCTTGGCGCTTTCATCCGCCGGGAAGAAAACATGAAGTCTTGGACTTAGTACATTACGCAACTACCCCATCCTAGACAGATATTGCAAGATAGGAGCAGTGCTGAGGGCAAGTAGTGTGGAACATGTCTCATGGCTAGGCTGCACAAATAAAGGGCTCAAGATTATTGGAGGATCCAGGGTGCTTTAAACTGATCGGCGCTGTTCGAACACACTAACTTGTTGTGGATCTCCGAACATCCCGCTGATTCAGCAGTATATAGAACTCCTCTGGGGTGAAGCTGCCAAGAGTGGAGAATTAAGAATCGGTACCATGGGGAACAGACTTTTTCGGAGATGGCGGGAGCTGATAGCGATGTTCTAGATGTGGGTAGGATAACTAACAACCATGGCCTGTAAGTGTCTGAGTAAGCGGAGGAATGAGCAGCAGAAAGGGCCCCATTGTGGTCCAGTCTTCTTACGTCGATGTGAACGGCAGCTTCTGCTTTCTTTGCGCGATTCGATCAGATTCTGCTTGTCGTCATATCTGTAGATTGTAAAGATGAGACACGATTCCCGAAGCTGGAAATCATAGTTCTGCGGAAAGACTCGGTGCTCTATGATCCACTAGTCAATTCCCAGCCATGGAAGTCAGTCCAATCACTAACAGTTGTCATCGACTGGTCTACTTTCTGAAGAAGGCCCGCCATGAGGTCTTCGCTACATATAGGGCCTAAATATAAGCGGACTTCATCAGTACCTATCCGGTGTGAGCCATACCATTGATAGTACACCCCTGATTTGGAGGTTACCTTCATTTCCACGCTGCTCCCAACGACGAAGTGTTTCCAAGAAGTCCTCAGCCCTCATCTAGAACTGAGACATGCCCAGTCCGCAACCATACAACTTCAGTTCAGGTTTAGTCCCATCCCCTTCTTCTTCGTCCCAGTCATCCTTCGACTCCCACAGATAGTAAGCAGGGGCTCCCTTTGATTTCAACAGACAAGCCATATCATCATCACCTATACGTAGCGCCACATGATGCGCGGCAGCACCACATAGATCAGCCCGGGCACCATGCCCCAGCATGAATTCCATCATTGATTGATCTCCCCGCTGCGCCGCCAATTTCAAGGAGCTCTCAACATTCGTCGCTCCGCCCTGCATCAACACAAGCACAATGTCTTTTCTCCCATCAGCAACAGCTCGGTATAAAGGCGAGGCATGATATCGATCTGGTTCAGCCCCCCGGCTCAACAAACACTCCACGAGCTCTTCATTACCGCACTGAACGGCCAGAAATTGTGGTGGAGCGTCTGGGGGAGGATAGTCCGGCAACATAGCCAAGCCAAATAGGTATTTGGCAACCCGACGACCCCGATAAAAGTTCGGCTGTGCACCACGGTCCAGAAGCAATGCCACCATATCTTTCTGTCCGGCTTGAATACCTGCAAGTAGTGCTTTCTGTATCATGACGATATCTGTGGTACTCTACCTCGCCGCGCGTAAGGGATGGCGTGCATTATCGGCAAAGCTGAACATTTGTGCCATATCCTCATCGTCACTATCTAGTGACTCTGCTGAATCGATGAGCTCGCTATCAGGCCCGGAATTCACGTCGGAGTTTCTTTCATTGCCGAGCAATGCCCATTTGCGGTGTGCGGGGTGTGGCAGACGACAAGACTTGCCCACAGCGGCTTTAAGTCCGTCGAGGAGTCTGCCAGCTAGATACAAGTCACCCCTTATTGCAACAAATATCAGAGCCGAGGCATGGTAGTAGCGACTGTTATAGTCATAGAGAACATATCTAAGGAGGTAATAGAGCCGACGATTAGTTCTCACAAGGGCGTAAAGGTCCCGTTTACGGCGAAGGAAGGAGACAATGGCGAGAAGAGTCTCATTTGGGAGATGAGCGAGGTGCATCTATAGTCGAAATCCAAGGTCCGGGACTGTTGAAATGGTATGATGTTCTGGATATATTCAAAAGGGACAAGCGCTTATTTTAGTTCAGTTGGAGACTAGTTGATTAAGGGCCGGCCAGTGCCGCAATCACCTTTACCAAAACAGGTATGACCCACCAAATGAGGAGACGAAACATGTTGATTTTGTCGAAACATGAGGATATTTCAGCGCCTTTATTTCACTCTCTCATGGCTGACCGCCAATATTGACCGGGTCGGGTGATAGATCCACAATCTTCGGAAGTAGGAGGCGTGCCATCATCGATGACAAACCGGAGTACTTATACGGCTATACTAAGTATGGCAGAAAGATCACATCGATGGATTCAGTGAGTAGGGCTTCCATTTCTCCTACACAACGGGAGCTTATCCTATCACTCACCGATCATCCCTGCCAATCTGACCAGAATAGCTCTGCTCTGATAGTAACACGATCAACAACCGTATCAGACTCAGTTGGCTCAATCACGGCCTGATTCCCAAATTTATAGTAATTAATCTTTGGTGGTACGCTTCTGATTACTGCCTTTCCTTCTAATCTTAGGAAACAGATCTATATTGTAGGTTCCTTGACGGCCTTCATACATGCGCCTGGCGCTACTTTGCGACGGGTATCTACCTTTCCATCTCTCCATCGGCGGCTTGAATATACGCGTTACATCGTCTTTGTTCTAGCGGTTAGCGCGTTGACAGTTATTAGAACTGGTCAAAGTTGAACATTACAGTGCAAACATGATGAAGGCCAATGAACTTATGCCTTGTAGCGCTCTTCTTAAACAATGGGAATGCTTTGATGAACGTCAGAGTATCGGTCATGTGCCCGGCATAGCTCCTTCCATTCTTGATTCCTGAGAGACTTCCTTCACGATCCTTCCAGCTTAACTTCTCTCCGACTCTCTATCCCACCAAAATCATCCACGGGAAGCGGATAGCATAAGTCTAATCAGAAATCATAGGCAAAATGCCAACCTTTAATTTAAACAGAATGTTTTAATATATCTTTGCCACTCGAGTCACTGTCTGTCCCTAAAAAGAATACTTTGCCTGGCCAGAGACCTTGCGTTAATTGAAACTTGACTTGCAGTACCGCTGCTGATTGCTTTATTCCGTTCGAGACCTAGGCCAAAGCCAATCGCCATGTCTTTTACCCCTAAAGGGTCCAGGCCAATACTTCGTCCGCGTTCTTATCTCCGAAGGCAGCATATTAAACACCCCAGGGCACCAGTATCTCTGTAAGGAGCAGGCGTCTCTGGTGAGAATCTCAACATGTGCGTGGTACAAGGCAGCAGCTTGGGCCACCACTACACCTGGCGGGAATGGATAGCTGTGTAACGCAGAAAAGCCATTCTTTTTGATCTGATCCGACAACTGCATCATTGTGAGACACTGGGATGTCTTTTGATGCTCTGGTCACATACGGGGAGGCGATTCCTTCCCTAGCAAGCCTTGCGGTGTCGTGCATTCAACAGGGTCAAGATGTAAACTAAGAAGAGACCACGTCGATAATGCCTCCGGAAACAGAAGCAAGACAGGGACACCATGTTTCAGGAATGGCCCCCCTCTTTGCACATGGACTGGTCTCCGCATGTTTCATTGCCTGTTGCCCAAAGGTGCAACGAGCCAGCTGCAGTGACGGTCGGGCAGTTATTGGTAGTCATGATGCTTATGCATCAAGGACATGACGCTGGCAGTGAACAAATCTGTCAACTCATCAGACAGCCAATATGTCTAATTTATCGACCCTACTAACTGGTGAGGAATGGGCTTGAATGGCAGTCGGAGATCACAAGTACCTATACGTTTTAACATAGTGTGTTCTCATTGGTAGCAGGCGACAAAGACTTTGATTCATACATTTTTTCGATGCTAGGCAATCAGCCTTGCATCAGTCAGTTCAATGGCAGCAAAATGCGGTCTGCAGTGTCCGTATGACGACAACCGTGACTTCAATATTTGAATTGCGCCAGGCATTTAGAGTTTCCAGCAGATTCTACTTCTATATTCTGGAAGCCATGCTCCGACTCACATCCGTGTCACACTCGATATATGGTCTGCCGCCCGAATCGCCCTATTACAACATCAGACACGGGAAGCTAGAGCCGGCTCTGTGCAATGATAGCTAAGGCTCGTATCCTGTTCCCGAAACGAGCTACCTACAATTGTCATCAACCTTCTTTCATACCTTGACCACGATATCAGGCTTCGAGGCTTAATTATCACTAGCTGTATAGTGTTCTCTAGATATAAAAGATGAGAAGGTCCTGCGAGTGCTCGCAACAGATGTCTCGATAAGGAGATCACTGGTAAGGTGAATTCGTTGGATATCTTGGGGCGTGGGGGTTCTATGCAATAGCTTCGGTTCAGTAGCTGTCGGCTACACGGCAGTGCATGCTGTCTCCCTTACAGTCATTAAGGTATTTATGTTTACCAATACTGGAGACAGAACTCAGCCAACTCATGGCTTGTCAGCAGTTTTGTTCTGTTCTCCTACAAGCACATCCTGGCCGTTTGTTGAGCAGGCGACCAGGCCAGTGTCGCAGTGTTGCTGGCCACCTCTTTACTTTCACCAATACGACGCTCCTGGCAGTATTGGGCGCCACAACGCACAGCCTGTGTGGCGTGGATGCTGCTAATCTCTCTTCACGACGGCACAAGGCCTGCCCAGGCATACTGGGTCACAGTTTGCGATAAATACACTGGTCATGGTCGTATGATCCTCAATACATGAGTCGTATACAGCTACGCACAGTCAGAAGTGAACAGAGAAAAGGCCAAGGTTTCTGACTACAAAAAGCAGGCTAAATAGCATAGTGTAGATCTTGTTCAGAAGCTGGTGTCAGACAAATCAGGCGCAATACCACCATCCAAGCGCCGATTGACGGGAGACTTTGGACTTAAAGTTCTTATCTGGGCATAGCTTCTTCAGTAACACCACAGATCTGACCTCACCTTGTGTATTCAACAAGCACTTTCAAAGCCTCTACTGTTCCTCTAACTTAACCCCAGGCTACCATCATATATGCTACATTCTCCAAGTCACATGCCACACTCATGCTTATGTGCATCACGTTCATGGGTTCACTCTGGACAGTCCGATCTGGGCAAGCATCCAGGATCCTTTGCCACACGCCACCATGAACTGAGGAACAAAATACGTACATGATCATCAACTAGGCCAAGCATCGCAAGCTCCCTGAATTCTAGTCCTCATATACTTCCGATGTTATTGCATTATGCCGGCAAGGAGCCCGTTGGCAGCACCGGTCCGCATGATCAACAGGCACGGATGGAGGCATGAACCATGCATCTAATTGCAGGGAAAGAAACGCCGGTCTCAGGTCCATCGGGGCCAACGGGGCCAACGGCGTCGGGATTTTCGAGTAGCGTTAGCCGCCCTTTTTTGAAAAGCGGGCCCAGTACAGCTAAGGGCCATACTCCCTGCTTTTACTCAAAAGGCAAATAAATTGGTGATACTCCATCTCTGCACCGATCGTGTATCCTTGCTTTTGCGCTCGGATTCTAAAGCCCGTCATTCCCACAGAGCGTTACACAAACAACACACCCAGCGGCTACTTGCATACCCTCGGAAGGAGCCACGAATCGGGGATTATGAAGGAAAACAAACTGTCAGACAATCCCTAAAGGCGACGAAGAGGTTGCCTTCCACGACGCGGGTATCCCAGGTAAAACTCTGCGCTTCCTTGGCAACGTTCAAAATCTCTTTTGCGGAAAAGGGGTAGCTGGAGTCAGTGGATGGATGCATTTTGATTATCTATTTGTGGGAAGAGCCGGTTGTTTAGGGTTTCGCCTCTCAGGGGCGAGCATCTTCTCCCTCTTCGGCAGCCTTTGATGTCCTTACCTTGCTTGGGTGTGTAACAAACGGGACGCATGGCCTCGGGTGCGGTCGCGGCACGGTCAACTGTCAGTAGTGTTCATGTGTGTTTACATATCACTACATATGCAAGCACCACACCAGATACAGGGTCTAAGGATTGCCGTTGTCAGTGCGGCCTGGGCTGCCTCTGGTACCTCGATACTCACCGACCTCTGCTGGAACCAACTGATACCCAGACAAGATTAGAAAGGAAGAAGGTTCTGCAAGGCTTGGGCATCCCACCCCCCAGACCGACAGTGGTTGCGCCAGTGTCATCCAGAGGGTTCCACAACTCATCCCAAACAGGAACAAAAGAAGCCCTCGTTCGCCAGGGGATTGGTTTGCCGCGATCATCACGAGGTGGCCTACACAAACGGGCCGGAAGCAGATGGAAGAACAGCACATACGGTGAAAATTGTTATAGCGACACTTAGTGATCGGTTATTGTTTTCTGTTTCGCAGCGTCATTGGCAACAGGTGCATCTGATGGCATCGTTGGTATCACCTTGATGGCTGTCACTGGATACCCCTAGGAGAAGCTGCAACGGGAGGCGAGAATCAAGCTATAAAGGTCAGCGCGCCACAGCCTGCGGTATGGAACCACTCTGACCTTTTCACCCTATAGCTGTCTTGATTATACCTTCACAAGGAAGCCTATAGTATCATTCTGTTATAGTTTCCATTGGACATCCACGTGAACTCCTACAGACGCACCACTCGCCTTCGCTGGCTTTTGAGTCTGCGAACCCATAAATACCAACACAGTCGTTTCTGGTCGCTGCTAAGAGAGTCTATCACAATCATGCCACAGAAAGCCGCTCAGCAATCTGGTATGCCCGAAGGGCGTGGAGTGAGGTACGATGAGATCGATATGGCGCTCTTCCGCGCCAAGCTCTCCTACCATGCGACAGCTGAAGAGCGCATGGCGTCGCGAGATCCGAATCTGGTGTCTATCTCGGAACATCAAGCGAGACTGTTGAGGCTCTGGGAGATGCACCAGCACTCGAGGGAGGAAAAGAACGGTGGTAGCATGACACCGGCCGAGAGGAACCAGCTGGCGCAATTTCAATGGCGATACAAGCGCTTGGAGGACCTCGCCACACAGGGCACGAGGTAGCATAAGACCACAGCAGCATCAGCATGAGAGTTAATTGGGAAAGCAGCATCATGGGGCGTTTCGTTAGATGTAGATTCACGAAGCTTTGGGTTGTTGTTTCGAGTTTCGAGACAACCCAGCTGTGGGTGTTTAAACGGCCCGTGAATCATGTTTCTCATTCTTGTTCTTGTTCTTTATCTTTCTTTTTAGCCTGCTGGACACTTGCATCTAAATGTTATTTCCTCTCTGTCTAATTCGTTGTTGTTTTTCTCCTCTGCTGTCGGGCCTCTTATTGCCCATTCTTCCTTGACCAGCCCTGTACGTACTCAGATCTCGAAGCGAACACGTTCACGCACCCCATGCACGCCATCTAGTCTAGCCGCAGTAGCACCAAATTAGCACTCCTTCCCCTCGACGTCAAGCATGTAACCCAACCCAATTGAACAAGCTAGCCCCATTGCAACGGTAACGTGCCGTTCCAGTCCAGCACACCCACTCGTACGGGTCCCAGGGGAAACCAAACCCAACCCAAGCACCGAAGGGAGTACAATCGTCACCAACTCAGGTCGTACATTGGGCACGCGACAGCAAAATCAACTCTAAATATTGCATGCCTATTGTTCCATTGATTCCATTGCACATGCGAGTAAGAAAGGAAGGGGGGGAGGCGGTGTCCGAGAGCCGAGCGAGCCGGCTCCGTCAATTCCCCAGTTACTTATGCCCCAGTTGGGTTATTGCTCGCTTTCGCTTTGCTGTCACTTTCGCTCATTTCTCCGATCGGATATGCAGTGGTGATAGAGGTGTGAGTCATATGCGTAGAGACGAGGACTATCCGGGTGAATTGGATTGGAATTGACTTGATGTTGGATTTCCCTCCCCCCCCCCTCTTCGGCTGTTACATAAAAGGATTGTAGTTGTGGTGGTCGGAAGAGGGCGACGAGGGGTGTCGGAGAGCTCCGACCCGGTGGAAGTGAGTGGGTGGTTCTGGTGGGGTTGGAATTTGGGGAGGGACCCGGTTTTGATGGAGGTGGAAAGCAAGGTCTGGGGATGGTGTTGTGATGGTGATGGGGTTTGTATGTAGGGAAAATGGGCGAATTGATCTGAATGCATGGTTGCTGGTAGATGAGGAGATAGAGGGTGATAGGAAGGAGAAGGGAGTAAGTAGAGTAGAGTAGAGTAGAATAATATAGAAGATAGAAGGGAGCAAAGTAGATAGAGAAGAATGAAGTGGGGGGAGAAATTGCGGATGAAGCGATAAGATCGAGTAATCGGCGGGGCAGAAGCTCTTATCATTTAACTAACTCCCCTTCATTCATTACTCTTGGTTTCTATCCTCGTCCCTACTTAAACCTCATATTTCCCTCCTCAACTTACCTTCACCTCTTTTCTCTCCTCATACCAATTCACATATCTTCTTCTTCTCTTTTCCAAACAATTTCAAATAAAAGATATCATACCAAAGAAATTACCCACCATGTCTTCAGACTACATCCCCGCCGATCAAATCGACTCCACCTTCGCCCACACCACCAACCTCGCCTCCGCCGCCCTCAACAGCACCGTCCTCTCCTGCTCCAACGAATACTTCGCCGCCGCCTCCAACCTCCTCACCCCGACCCCTCCCATCAACCGCCCCGGCGTCTTCATCCACACAGGAGCCTGGTACGACGGCTGGGAAACCCGCCGCCACAACCCCGCCCCCTACGACTGGGCCGTCATCAAGCTGGGCGTCTCCAGCGCCCACATCTACGGCGTCGAAGTCAACACCGGCTTCTTCATCGGTAACTACGGCGAGAAGGCCTCCCTGCAAGCGACCTACGCGCCCAACACTCCCGACTCGGAAGTCGCCGATGAGAAATACACTGGCTGGACGACGATTCTCCCGCCCGTCGAGTGCGGGCCGTCGCAGCGGCGCGCGTGGAAGCTGGACCCGGAGGTGCACGGCAAGGCATTTACGCATGTGCGGTTGTTGATGTATCCCGATGGAGGGTTTGGACGGTTGAGGGTCTACGGGAAGGCGATTCCGGGAGATGTTAAGGTGGAGGGAGGTGAGGAGGAATTGAGTTCTGCGCTTGTCGGGGGTGTGGCGCTGGCTGCGTCGGATCAGCATTTCACGCCGTGTTCGAATCTGTTGTTGCCTGGGAGGGGTAAGGATATGGGGGATGGGTGGGAGACGGCGAGGTCCAGGGCCAAGGGTCATGTTGATTGGGCGATTGTGAAGTTGGGGTTGGTGGGGAGTGTGAGTAAGGTGGTGGTGGATACGAAGGATTTCAGGGGGAACTTCCCTAGGGAGGTGCGCGTGCATGGGCTTGTTGAGGGGAGTGTGAAGGGCGAGGAGGAGCCTACGCATGATCATCCTGGGTGGGTGGAGTTGGTTAAGGGTGATAGGCCTTGTCGGGCGGATACGGAGCATGTCTTTGAGGGACAGGATTTGGCTGCTGGTGGGGAGGATACGAGGGCGTTTACGCATGTTAAGTTGACGTTGGTGCCGGATGGAGGTGTCAAGCGGTTGAGGGTGTTTGGGAAGCGGAAGGCTGTTGCTGCTTGATTGCTGGAGGATGTTGGAAATGAAATAAAATGAGATGTGAAATGGCTACTAGTGAGTAGGATACTAAGAATGAACATGACTGCTAGTTAAAACTTGCAAATCTTGCACCAAAGATATAAATATAATATCTCTAAATCATCCAAACGCCAGACCCTGGTATTCTTCATCCCCTCGTAGACTCAACTGAAAGGAGATGGAAAAAATCACGGTATCACCAAGACATACAGATAGCAAAAACAGGGCACGCGAGCCAGAGATATATGTGATAGACAGAAACAACGCCGAAGGAGACATCACTATGAAGCACAAGGAGTACATCGGACAGACGAAGGTAACCAAAATGCAAGAGACCAAGAATGGAGCCTCAACTGCTGGTATCATCAATCATATGCTTCATCATCATCGCTTAGAACTAAAAGGACATGAACCAGCAAGACACGGAACAACGCTCAGCCCGTACGCTTTTTCAAGGTATAAATCGCAAAGTACATTCTAGAATGAGCAACGCAGCAACGTCGATAGGAAATCGCTCAGAACATGCAGGGTATCGCAGGCGCGTCGCTGACGGGAGTAGTTCTCGGGCTACTGCTGACCCAGAGGGATGGCAAAGGCTTGCCATTGTAGAGGCGGGGAGGAGGGCACCACGACACTAATTTACTGTGGGCTGCCGCTCTTGCAATTGCTTCTCTTCCTCCGGCGTCACAGCGGTGGCTTGGCCGTCAATATTAGGCGATATGGAGTGGCTCCGTGGTGTCCCTGCCTCAGTGCTCACACTTCCTCGTTCCCGGTTCACTAGTCGCGTCCTTGTATATGCTGGCACCGGCGCAAGATATTGGTCAAGCATCTCACTCAATATCGTAGATCGGACCGGCTTGGGCAGGTAGTTATTCATTCCGGCACCAAGGCATTTCTCGCGATCTCCCTCGATGGCACTCGCCGTCATGGCTATGACCAACACTTCGTTGACATTGGGGTCTGGGTCTTTCCGGATTTCGCGAGTCGCGTTGTAACCGTCGAGAGTCGGCATTTGCACATCCATCAGGACCACATGGAACGGGTTACCCTCGCGGGACCGGGTTCGGAGGGCTTCAACCGCCTGCCGCCCATCGCCGTAAGCTTCACACTGAAGATTAAGCCCCTTGACAAATTTGACGGCAATCTTCTGATTAATCGGATTGTCTTCAGCGATACAGACCCGGATTTGATCCCGAGGCACCATGGTCAAGTCTCGAGCGGTAGGAACCGGAGCCTTGTTCTCCACCTGGTTGGCGGCCTTGTTTTTAGCAGCTTTGGCGGCAGCGTCTTTCACCTTGTTGAATGCCAGATGGAACGTCACGGTGGTTCCAACGCCTGAGGTCGAATCGAGCCAGATAGCGCCGCCTAGGACGTCCTCAATGATTGCCTTGCAGATACTCAATCCAAGCCCACTGCCGCCATATGACCGCGCCGTGGAGTTATCAGCCTGCGAAAATGGCCGGAACAGCCGTGATTTCTGTTCTTCTGAAATTCCAATTCCTGTATCGGATACGGAGCACTCTAAACGGACACGCCCCTTGCCTTCCCGGGAAACTTTGGCTCTCACAGTCACAGATCCCTTGGGGGTGAACTTGTAACTGTTGCTGAGAAGGTTCATGAAGATCTGATGCAAGCGAACAGGGTCACCGAGGACCACAAGTTCTGGTGGGACTTTGTCCAGGTCCTCGATTGTCTCTAAACCGCGATCGCGATGCGTATAGCGAAGTGCGCGAACCACCTCTGAGATTGTTTCTCGGATATTGAGGGGTACAGTAGAGATCTTCATCTTGCCAGCTTCCAATTTGGAGAAGTCAAGGATATCATTGATGAGTGTGAGCAACGTGTCAGCGCAGACACGGATTGATTCCACGTATTCGTCCTGCTCTCTGTCCAACTTGGTACCCTTAAGTAGTTCCGACAAACCGATAACGCCGTTCATCGGTGTGCGTAGATCGTGAGATATGTTAGCCAAGAATATGGACTTGGCCTTCGCTGCATCTTCTTTCAGCTTCACGTTGTGCTTTGCTTCAGCCTCGGCCACTTTAGCCTTCTGCTCCGCCTCGCGAGCCTGGGCAAGTGCGCGCTTCTGAGCCTCCACCATGGAAGCATTGGTAGCGCTAACCTTGCGCACTTCCCGGAAGAGCAACGCATTGGAAAGCGAGATACCAATCTGGTTGCAGAGCAAGTGGAGGACCACAACATTGCGCTGGGTGAATGAATTCGGTTTGCCTTCAATATGGATGACACCGAGCAGATGCTCGGCCTGCATGATAGGCAATGCGATCACGGACCGCCCAAGGGGATACCTGGCTTGGTATCCCTCATTGACGTTCGAGAAACGCTCATCCTCCAGGACGTTGTGAACAAGAACTTCCTCCCTAGTGCGCATGACATAGTGAGAGATCTGATGCGCCATCTTATCCTCGATTTCGGAGAACGGAAGGCCGTCTACGAAAGACTTCTGTCCTTTCTCCAAGTCCCCAGCCGCAGCGACCGTGAAGTTGTTATCGAAATTGGTCGCAATGACCGCAGAGTCTGAGCCATTGCAGGACTCCAAAACAATCTCAATCATCTTCGTCAGAAGTTTGTCGATCTGAAGCTCCGAAGACATCACTTGGCTAGATTCGAGGATGCTTGACAAATCAATGATATCTGCTTCATATTAGCACGGCTCGCAAGTGTCAGAAAAGTGTAGCTTACCAAGACCGACGCCAGATATGTCGAAAGAACGCTCACCGGTAGTAACACCATTCTGTTCTATCCAGCGTTGTTTTCTGTCATCTTCTTCCATATTCTGTGCTACTCCCATATGTTCTTGGCCGGTATTGCGGTTGATTCCAAGCAGCGAGTCCACAGTTTGACAGCCAGTGTCAACATTCCTCGAAGATGTGGCGGTTTTCAATAGCCATTCATGCTTCTCGGTCAGCTGCGCCGCCTTGCCCACAGCGCTTATCGCGGCCCATGCGGCAATTGCGTCTTGCATGACAGAACGCGCCGCCCTTTTGGCACCGCGACGGATCAAGAACTCTCCTACTCGAAAGTTAATTTGGGCCAAGACGTGGGGGTAACCCCTCCCCCAAAAAGTACTGCGATTTGGGACGTCGGTGTACATACCATGCAGTTCTAGAGCAAGCGCTTCTTCCAAGGGCCACCCGTGGATTTGACAATGATCGATTGCAGCCTGGCCTGATTAGCTTCTCTTTCACTCCATCCAGGGCAGTCCTGCAACTTACTTCGAAGGATTGAATCGCGGAAGTATGGTCATTCCGGACTTCGCATATCAGTGCCTCCAATATTAAGGACCACATTCCATAATTGGCATCGCAAGCACTGCGCGCAAAATCCACTTCGGCTTTATACTTCAAGACCGTATGCAGGCTTCCGTCAAGATACCCGCGAGCAGGGTACTCGTTGTGAAGAGTCAGAAGAGAAAGGGCGAGATAGAAATAGACTACGTATGAAACACGAGCAGACCACAGTCTGGGCATAGTCTCCATCATCTGCATGCCCAGCTGTATAGCCTTGGTATGATGTCCATATGCAAAAAGCGGAATCATTGCAAGGCCCCAGTAAATGTCCCGCGGCCGGTCGGCGTTACTGGCATTGTTGTCCAGGAAAGCGATGTACTCATTCGTGTGATGGTGCTCATCGGACATGATAGTATCAGGAGAGCGACATGCCGTTTTACCTTGCAGAGCACGTGCAACTTGTCTATAGGCAAAGCTGTTAGCAGGTGACATATTCACCAGTGCTCCTAGAGTAGACGAGGGAACCTTACCTAACTGCAAGCAGACTAGCGCCTCCCCGAGTATCATTGACCCAGTCGGGAATATCTTCCGGGCTTTCATTGCAGAATGCCTCCACTTGAGCCATATCATGGCCCAGATACAGTCTTGTCATCGCCATCGACGACAGACTGATTAAGGTGATGTACGGATCACCCATCGAGAAGGATGTCTCAACAGAGGCCTCAAGATTCGGGAGCGTCGAGGACAATGGAACACGCAGGTGGCCGACATAAAGGTTATGCACAATAGAGCCCCGACTTTGGGTCCACTGTTCGGGACACCGCTCAAGGAGAGTGAGCGCGAAATCGCTCAGCCTCACGGCGAGCTCCAAGTCCCTGAATCGGCTGAACGATATCATCGCCAGGTGCGAACAGCCGATGGAAATTTGCACAAAACCGCCTTTGAAAAGATGTAGGTTCATCATTTCAATGGCCATCCGGTAGAATGTCAGTGCATCGTCCCAGTACGTGACAGCCATCGCCTCAGCCATGACCTCTCCAATAGTGATCATGTCGACATCCTTGCTGACGGGCTTACGGACAATAGCTTCCAAGTCCGCTTGCTCGAGGTATGCGCGAAGGTTACGGTAGGCATCGTCGCATTCGTCATAGGTCGTAGGCTCTCGTAGATGTACACCAAGCTCTTCCAGGCACGTAAGGAGTGAATCCATCGACCGGAGGTGGTTACCCATCTGAGCGTAGATCTTGGCTTTAACGATCCAAGCTCGTGATTTGCACACGGCACTCTTTCCATGTTCGAAGACTTTATCAAGCAAGTCCAGAGCTTCCGTGTTATGCCCTTGGGACCATGACATTTCAGCGGTAGCAATATGCAGACGCAGAGTCTCCCGGTAGTACACATCAGCGTTATTGTCATCCCAAGGATTGTCTTGAAGGAAAGTGATGCAGTGCCGGAAGTACCAAAGCGCTGTTGGTCGCGCACCCGATTGCGCAGCGGTTTGCGCCGCATCCCACAAGATCTTTCTATACTCAAGTCTTTCCACGACACGAGACTTGATTATCCGGGACGCCAGAGCCACATGTCGCGCCATTGCGTATCGACTGCGCCCGTCATGGTAGTACTTCATCATTGCTTGGGATATGATGAAGTGCATTTTTTCCACGTTCCGTCCCTCCGTCAACGACAAGGCCGCTTGCGAGAATCGATCATTGACAAATCTAAGAATACTAGTTAGTGGACACGAAATGAATTCAATCAGGAGCACCTACCTGAATTCATCATCCGTCTTTCCCGGAATGATCAGGTTTGCTTGCACCAGATACTGCAGACCGACAACTATATCGGCTTCAGATTGTCGGATTAGATTTGCATTCTGAGGACAGGTGAGGTCTACAGCCTCATCGTCCTCGCTGGAATACAAGAACTCGCTTGTGAGAAGTTTTTGTACCAGAGAGAACGCAAACGGGCTTCCTAGCAATGCGCCCCAGACCATTATGGACCTGGCAGCTGCCGGGATCTCCTGGAGACGCCTTGCGATGAACCCTAGTCCAAGCCCCTCGCCATACCTAGGAGCCACAAATTCGGTGAAGATCCGATCCAGGTCGAATTCCCACACAGAATTTTTCCACGAATACCAAATACAGTTTTTGCTATAGCAGGTTTCGAGCATCATCCGGACAAAGAACGGGTTGCCCATACTCTTCTCTTGTATGACAGCGGCGAGCGGGGTTAACATCGGGTTGGGTTCCTGATGCATTGTAGCGGCCACGATTTGCATAATCTCTTCCTCTCCAAGAGGCTTGAGTACCACGCGCGTCACGCTGGGATTATCAGATTCGAAAAGAGGCCTGATTATATTCGACTCCAACTCAGACTTTCGGCTCGTGAGTATCAACACACATGGAATTTTAGCTTTCACGATGTTCATAATCAACTCCAGGGTCTCGTCATCGGCATAATGCAAATCGTCCACACATGCGCATATCAACCTGTACTGGGATAGCGTCCGCAGGATCTCCAAAAATGTCTCCATCAAACGCATGTTCTTCAGTGCAGCATTGGATAGAAAGAAGTCCACAGAGCTTTGACCATGATCCAGACTTGGAAGTGCAACGCGCTTGGATGGTTCGCCCTTGGTCGAAACTTCCTTGAAGATATGTTGCGCTGCTGAGAGTCTGGGGGAAATTTGTCGTTCATTTCCTCCGGAAGACATGAGCTGCTCCGGGAGTTCCAGCACACGGTGTAATGTCGGCCACATTGGTCTCAACGCAGTGCGGATGTTATTGTGGTACTCAGTTGTGACATCACGTTCAGAGAAGATCTGGCGGAGAAGGCTAGCCAGAATTTTGGCGAAAGGTTCAAACGGTATCCGCCTGGCGCGATCCAGACGGGCTATACCGATATATCCAAGTTTACGAATTGCGGGCTGAACACGGTTCAAAAGGTCTGTCTTTCCAATGCCAGCTGCACCGCTTATGGTAATTACTTCGCATTTTCCTGCGCGACGAACCTTGTGTGCAGCCTTCGGCCTGGCAACAGATCCGATCGAATCACCATGGCTCTGCGTGCTTGTTCCAGCAGAAGGATGGCCATCTCTGTCTACATTCTCCCAGGATGCGCGAGACTCCACAGGACTCTTGGGTTTACCTGATGAGTCACCGGGTTTAGGAGTTGAGGGAGAAGAATCCGTACTGTGCAGAGATTCGTGAGTAGATACGCGTCCTAAGTTGGAAGGGCCACCGTTGGAAGCTGCCCTGGACGCAAGATTGAAGGAGCCTGAGTCGCTCGAGCCAGATGCAATCTCAAAGCTATCAACCCGGCCGTCCGAGACCGAGGAGTTGGATCCTACTCCACTAGAGGTCTGAGCGGCTGCTCTCGCATACGCAGCTTGTTGGCGCCTATGGACCTTCTCGACGACGTTAGTGATCTTTTCATATTCCTCTCGCCGCCCAAACATCCGAGAGGGAAGCGTGAAAAAGGACGACACATCACGCTGGGCGATCTGGAAATCTTTCAATGCTTCACTATCGCCATCCCCGAGCAACTGGGAGATCTGTGCCAGATCCCGCTTGACAGATGAGATTGTGTGGTAGCGTTCATTGACAGCCTTCTGTGTCATTTTCTGGATTACAGCTGACACTGCGTCGGGAATATCCATTCTCTTGGCTGAGAGCGGTGGTAGCTTCTTTCCTAGTACGTTCTGCACGACTTCAACAGGGTCGCTGCCCGTGAAGGCTGGTTTACCAACCAACATCGTCCAGAAAAGCACGCCCAAGGCATAAATGTCAGTTCGACTATCCGGCTCCGTAGGCATTCTTCCTGTTTGTTCCGGAGCGATGAATTGTAGTTTATTCTTGACACCAAGCTCTTTTGAGAGGGATGACCAGCCTTCGCTCAGAATATTATCAAAAGACCTAGCACCATTCCCCGTGTTGGTAAGCTTCACAGACCCTGCCTCTCGATTGAAATGGAAGGCATCCCCGCGGATTTCGCCATGGACCGTTTTGAGGCCGTAGTGTAGAAGTTCCAAGCAATCGCATGCCCCAATCGCAAAATCGAGAAAAGTGGCAAGAGAAACTTGTTCTCCCGGGGTCGGCTCATTGCTGTCAGTCCTACCACCGGCCGCGAACCAGGCAGGGCCAAAGGCGACCATTTCTCGCAGCATATTCTGGCCGGGAGATTCAAAGATAGCCACGAGGAGAGGGCCTGCATCACCCGGGTCGGAGGGCAAACGTATAAGGTCTATGGGACGTATAGTATGGTTGCAGTCTGGATCGGAAGTCTGCACAATAGATCTGAGCATATGGAACTCGCGCTCCAGTCTCACAACGTGAGACGAGACTCGAGCTAGCACTGGGATCCATATTGGCTCGTGATCCATGCGAGAAAGAGAGAGCTCACTACTGGATTCGCTTAGGCTGCTTCTCCAGTGATGTCGAAACGGAGGGCGGGACTCGGTTCGCGGGGAATTGCGAGCCAGGCTAGATGGGCCCGACGAGGTCGCGGCAGGTGTAGAGACATCTGACTCTGCGGCATGTCGGAGGCCAAAGACATGCCAGTGATTATATGTCGAATGAAACGGCTCAATAGTCTGATCCCATGTATATCCAGGCAAATGTCCCAACCTCTCGAAAAGGCGTGCCGGTGGGAGTGGCAGGTCGTCACCCAGTATATGGCTGTCCTCCATCTCCACCAACACTTTATCGCGATATCCTGAGTATTCGGCCCCTCAGTTGACGGCCATAGATAGCCGGTCGGTAGTGAGTAGTCGCAAACTGAGACGGCGAGGCTGTTCGGACAGGGGACCAGGAGGCATAAGGACGAAAACGGTTCAATCGCCAAGCAGGGTGGAGAGGGCGAGGCGCTGCCCCCTCTCGAAAAGGTTCAGGGTAAGTCGGCAAAGGGTTCGATCAAATGCGACAAGGGCACGGTCGGAGGGGGCGAAGAGAGCGATCAGATGCGATTCGGCGAGTTCAACGTGGTCAGGACACAGCTGTCAGCATCCCCACCAGTCAAGGTGAATGCGATCGCAAGCGAACAATGGGATGAGCTCTTTCGAGGCAAGAACTCTGGTTGGGTTGGGGCCTAGGGAGGCCTGAGGCTGTAGATTTCCTGAATAAGCCGTGCCTTAGTCAGCTGCCGTTGGGCATCACGAGGGATGATGGAAAAAGCGGGAGATCAGCCGTCGTGCTTTTGTTCTCGAAAGGATGGCTGCACGAGTTGTGCGCCCGTGAGGTGACCCTGCCGCCTGAACTTTATCAGCTTTTATCATCAATCACCCTGCAAGCACTGGAATGGCTGCAGTTACAAGGAGAAGTCTCCCGAATATTAAAAGAATGGTTATCTTTCTTGATTGCTTTGTATGTAGCACACGTGGTGGGCTGATGTTGATTTTCCACCTTGACTATCATGTGGAATAAACAACCGCCCACACTCAGCTTTCTACTAATATAAGGATTCCAATGAGCAGCAGTCGCATACAGACGGTGCCGTTTTTTCGGTGGACATCTCTTGACTTGTATATGTACGTGCATTACGAGGTGTGACTATCTTTGTTATGATATTCAGAGATCATATCTACGCAACTCTCTCCGAAGCGGCGCATACTGTACCTGAACTAGTCTCCAGCGGGCTTGCCAAGCAATGGAAAAAAGCACCACCCGAGGGCTCTCCTGTACACTGACAAATTAGGATGGGGTGACATAGCTTTTATCCCGATGTATGATGTACTATCTAACAATCAAATATCTGAAGGCGGGGGTGGAGGGTGTGACAATGCCATCATTGTCATGTTAGTTCAGGGGAAATTGATTGCATCGCCACTTCCCCTTACTTGACAACGTCAATGCTGTATCCCGACCGGGTAAATGGGCGACTAGTAGATTTCAAAGGTCACTATCTTAATAGTCCGAAAAACAGGTGCTATCTTTGGATAGTAAGTAAGAGTACTTATTGAGGATGATCACCTGAAACCACAGAACTCTCAGCCGGGTCAGAATGGTCAGTCTGACTGTGTTGTTGGCCCCTACATAGTACTACTAATGTGTGAAGTGAGGAAGGAATGTTAAATTATTCATGTAACCGATTTTTTGAAGAGTAAGAAGGGCCTAAAGTCGGTGCCATGGAACTTGGCGGACTAGAGAGAGTATCCTAGATTTGAAGGATCTTCCAGAAAATTCATTGTGGGACTAGGGAAATAGTAGCGTTAGGTTGATTGCAGTTGTTGTTTTGGCCCCTTAAATATATACTATGTCCCCTCCTCTTCGCAACGTCTTTACCCCACGCTTCGTTTTTCACGTTAGTGTGAAAGTTCAACGAAGGGAAGAGAAATTGAATTTCAGATAAAATAATACACAATGATTGACTGTATCTGTTTCTTCAAACATGAAAGCAGAAGCCGAACAAATCATGATAAGAACAGAGCGACTGGATCTAATGTAAGATGATTCCATTAATTATCGGAGGTTGCAGGGTTCCCGCTTATCCCAATATGCGGTGTGCACCATCCACTTAAACCTTTCCTCAGCTCAATTACGGGAAGACAAGAATTGATAAGTTCTCAGGGCAAATCATCTTGGGCATATTACATATCTATTTAGTATCCATACCGGAATTAACTCGGGTTTATGGTGGTCAACAATACCGTTATCTCTGACTTTCCGTAAGGCCTACGAATGGAGTATATAGGCCAGGCGAGTTTGACAAAACCTTCATTAAAGCGTTTCGAGGACCCATTTT